TTTTATATTTTGACATTGACAAATGACATTTGACATGATATGCGTTTTCATAAGCTTAAAATTTTATTTCAGTCTATTTTCGCATCTTTGCAAAATAAACTATACAGGGTGTTTGGAAATTGAGTTCGGCAACTTGGACGAAAGTTTCAACGTCGTAAAATAGTGGCAGTAAGTCATGTAACAAAAATTCGAAATGCATATCGCGATATTCAGTATATGAATATTCCTGATGGACCAGTTGGATAATAAGCTCTTTTAATAGAAACTAATTTTTAACGGATTGTGACAACGACTTTTGAAATTTCATTAAGTCCAGTTAGATAAAATCATATTTACAGGTAAAATTCGAGTCGAGAATAAAAAATCGATTTGTGGATAAACGATAACACTTATCGACTTTAAACAAGAGTAACAATTTTAAGGATTCGTGATTCTGCTTAAGGCAATCTGCTCAATGTTGCAATATCAATCTAAATAAATAAAATGCAGGAAAAAATTAAAAAAATGTTCTAGCTAAAGTGTCCTCTAGTGACAAATTTCTGAAACACATTTATTTTGTAACGATGACTTTTACTAAATCAGGGTTGTGTGTAAAATATCAGCTATTTAGCCCACTGGATAAAATTTAAAAAACAAATGAATTTTGACAAACTAACCACGTTGAATATTTTCTCCAAGGTTCCGAGGTCAATTTCCTAACACCCTGTATTTGTCCGAATGTGTGGGTTAATTCTATAAAATTAATAATTAATAACAGAATTTGTCGTAAACCAAAGTGTATGTCGAAAATTAGTTCCGTGGAGCCGCCAGCCTCGTTTCACGAATTAATTATCTGTAGAGTATGAACAACGGCTTGTTGCGCTTTGTACGCTTTTCCGTGACAACGCGTTAAACTGGTTCCGTTCCGGCAACGAAAATATCTAACGGCAATCGAAAATGAACACGATATTTGCATAAAATAATTTACAAACTCGACATAAATAGGTATAAAGATAATAATTTCACAAAAGCGTACCGTTTGGGACATGTATTGTATTAATTCAACTGATCTAATTACATACAGCAACGTTAACAAAATAATTTAAATAAACCCAAGTCGACAGTGTAAAATAATTATAAATTTTTATTTTTATTTTCTCAACGCTTAAATACAGCAGCTAAAGAAAACTAATAAGCAAAAAAAATGCTACACTCTTCGGAACGTGCCTAATTAATATTTAACATTAGCATAAGTTGGCCATCTAAGGTTTTTTTTTAAGAAAACTACACTTTCTTAGGTAATGCATTAAAATAACAGAAGTTGAATTTTAAAAAATTAAATTGTAGGTATATCAAACATATTTTTTTAAATAACATATTCTCAACAAACTATATATGTTTTAATTTAGAAACAAATATTAATTTATTTTATAAAAAATCACGTGGAGGTTTTAAGGTACTAAAAAACGAAAGAAGCTAAACTACCTTAATTAAAAACTTATCTATCTATATAAACTTTACAACAAACAAGTAAAAATACAAACTTCATTCTTTTTGAGTAAAAAAATTCGTTATTTTTGTTTGTTTATTTTATCTCAATTCAAATTTCATATTCTCGATGTGCCTCTCAACCTCCCAGTTATATTATCAGTAGATTGTAATTTTACCAGAGCTTTGAGAATCATTTGGCTGTAAAACTCCAGTCATAATATCATTATCCGTTAGTAAGTCCGTTGTTATTAAATTATCATCAACAGTTGGGAAGCTATCCAGCTCAGGAAGATACATTTCAATGTGCAATGCGCAACCAATTACTTAGGAAACCTCCAAGTCAATGTCGTCATTGTACTTTGTACTTCTCGAGCCAGAGGTAAGTCATCGTCTTAATCAAACTCATCTTCCAATTTTATCAGACCTCCATGTCGAAAGCTACTTGAAATAGTGGTTGAAGTAACATCATTCTAACATTGTGCAAATAATTTTATGGACTCTAGAATAGTGATATTGAAAGGTTCTTTATTTTCAAATGACTGGATCAAACAATACAAAAAATATCTGCGGTAATACGTCTTAAGGCGTTTTATTATGCACTGATCCATTGGTTGGACGACTGGATTTTTTGGATGAGATGCAAAATTGTCAACCAGAAGCAATATTTTTCTATTCTGCGTTTTAGTTTTTCATCCCAATCCTTTAAATACTTATGAAAAATTTCTGAAGCCATCCACGCTAGCAGGTTTGACTTATAAATGACAAGTAGATTTTTCACATTTCACAACTTCTCCTGCTTCACCAGAAATTTTTCCCACGTTTATGTTGTGATGAACTTTAAAACGTTCGAGCCAACCCGTAGAACAACTAAAATCCTCACCCTGTAATCCCCTGGCTAATTCTTCGGCTTTCGATTTCAAAACTGGACCACTTATTGCAATATTTTCGGATCTTCGAGCCTGAAACCATTGTAAAAGAGCTTTATCTACATGTGAACTTACAGGATTTTAATTTTTTTTAATCCTGTGCGATTTAGTCACTTGCTTTCTTGATCTTTTTGCGATTACTCCAAATTGTAGATATTGTTGTTTTTGCCAGTTTCTTTTGTTTAGCAACTTCCGCCTTACCGATGCCACTCTCAATACCTCTGATAATCTCTATCTTTTTTTACAGTTAAAGACTTACGCCGATCCATCATTTTAACCATAAACTCAAAAAATCGTGTTGGCACACCTTTCCATAAAACAAACAAAAGTGGAAACTGTCGGCCGGACACGCACGTTTCAGAGAAAACCTCGCAAATGATCCGGCTTGTACTTTATAACCAGAACACTAGTAAAAATATTGTATTCTATAACCGTAGTAGAAGTTATATATGGTACGTAATATTCGATGAAAAAATGAAGAGGCCCGAAAAGTAAAATATCTACGTAATACCCGGAAGTTTTCTGTTTCTGATCTTACATAAAAAAAAACTTTTTAACTAAGAGTTTTAACGAAAACGCTGTAGGTACAATTTTTTATTAGTTTTATTATTTTTTTCTAATAAAAAAAATATTTCTGAAAACTAATGAAATTACCACCACAATACAAATCGACATTGGACCAGTTTCTTTAGAAAGTAACTCTAACGCCAAGTTTCGTTTTTCTGTAGTTTTTTGGCTTCGGATGCTTGTGTTTCCGCTTCAAAGGAAGCCGACGTAATGAATCCCTGAGGGCGCGTTTCATTGCGGAAAAACCGAAAGAAAACCTTTAAAGTTTTAAACCATCCTTGGGAATAAAATAAGAGTCGAACATCTTGGCTAATTGAGAAGTTGTTAGAACTTTAGTTAAGTGGAAACACGATACTGAAAAACATCCCCCGGAAAATAAAAGTCAATGGAAAGTTTCGTGAAGACCGGCTGGAAATTTTCAGAAATTATTTCGCATATCCTTGTAGTTCCCTTTTAACACAACGTTGGTACTTATTTAGCAGCGTTGTTTACGGAAAATATTTAGCGAATCCGTCTGTCTGGGCGAGCGTTCACGATTTGGCATCGATTTAGAAGAAAAACTTGTCGTTTTTGAAAGGTTTCCGCGAGCATTTCGCGTATCGGATTTGGTTTCCCGATACAGGTTATTTGTTTGGTAATCCTATTTGACGAATGGGCTTTCTAAAAACACGTCGCGCCTTCTCAATTAGTTTTCATCGACGAACGTGTGATTTCGTACGTTAAAACGACAGAAATAAGCATGGACTACCTTCCCGAATTTTCTTACCCCTTACAGTCGATGAAAAAATGGTCGAGCATCGTATCCAAAACGTCGATAATACAAAAATTTAAAAGGTAATTTTTCTATTACATGTACTGGTTTATATAGTAGTTTCACGTGTGTTGTCCAAAACTAATATTGTTAGTTATAGATAGTGGCAAACTCATTTTTTATATACGTACATAGATAATCTGTACTTACGTTACCGGGACCTCACTATGACAGTTTATAACCTTTAAACGAACTTATTTCGGCATATTAATTAATTTTATAATAAATAGTAAAATCTGGTTCAAATCTTAGACTCTTCAAATTAAACTAAAGTTAGCTCAGTGACGTAGAGACATCAATTACCTCGTGCTTTAGAAAATGTTTCCGATAACAAAAAGTGTGGAGCGAAGTTTAATTTTATATTGACTTTTACAATTCCAAATATTTGTTGTCCTCTAAAAAAACTATTTTTTATTCATTTGAAAGGCATTGTCTGATGCATAGTCTCTATCTCAGAAAGCAGATCGTAGAACCAAATACACGGCAATATCCTATCCTTGAGTCTATCTACCGTTAAAATTCTGTTGTCATAATACTGGTATTCCCTGTATGATACTAGTTGATTTGCTTCTATTGCTCCAACAATATCTTAAATTGAAATGTCTTTCCGTTGTTCCTGATTTTATTAATCTGCAGTATTTTATACCTCCGCGCAGATACTAATCGTAAACTACGTTGCCAGTTCTGGCGATTTTTCAGTAGATCTATTTGAATTTCTAATTTATTCCACTACTCCGTCGTAAAACAAATGAAAACGTAAGTATTATTATACTGTTTCATAAACATAATAGTAATATTTTTATTAGATTGAGATTCAAATTCAAAATAAATTGATTTTTATTATTTGTTCCTATTTTTTCTTTGTCTGTTTCATTTCCTCGAATTTGTTGTACTTATGTTCTTTCCCTTTACTTCTATCATTTTCGGAAATTTCCGTAACAAAATAAGTTCACTGGACTCTGCCGAATTTCTGACTTCCATATTCATTAAGGGAATAAAAATCGAACTGACAACACCGAGCGTAAGCAACCGCAGAAAACGTAAAACCCACGGAATATAGGGACTCGAAAGCCAACTCCATTGCCTTTCTGCCAGAAATAATAGCCGGTTTATTTAAATTTACGACTTAACAGCGTTTTTCATTTAACGGTCATTTATTCTTTTATAGGATTAACGGACGTTGCGAATATTCCCGCCGCAATTTCTAGTTTGGAATACAGAGGATTTATTAAAATGGAAATATGCTTCCTATTTATCGACGCGGCGAAACCAATTTTACAAAGCTCCAAACATTCAGCACAACGCAGATAAGCACTTGATCTTTTTCGATTTAAAATTTTCGTTAAAAAAAGTGTTCAGATAGCTTTAGGTTACGAAATTATAATAGAAACCAATTTGGCGTTCCACTTTGTTATAAATAAATGAACAAACCGGTCGCCAACAAAACACGATACAAATTGGTTACATCCGTTCGATTCGGTTTGCGTACCTACCTAACACACACACGGTAAAATGAATTCGCTACGTGGTTAATAGACGATAGCTGTCAAAGAATTCAGACTGCCGTTACCGTATAAACACAAATAAACTGTTTTCAATTTATAATTAACAGGTTTTAAGGAGCTGTAAAACTTACTTTCGCAGTAATTATTCTTCTTTAAATTATCAAGAAACTCTTGAAGACAGACGGAAAATCCTGATTTTAAGTAAGAAATATTTTATTGGGCGCGAGCTTCTGACTATTCAGGTATAATTTATAGGGTAATTAACTTCCTAATACAAATAACAATGTAGACGTACTACCTTCCCGTTATTGATTGAGATTTAAAGAAAGTCTGTGAAATACAAGTATTCATATTTTATCTTATTGACTATGACATACAGAAGAAAGTATGTGAAATAGTATCCATAGAATTTCTTTACATTGTAATATTTAAAATAAAGTGGTGAAATTGAAAACTTCTCTATTCACACCAGATCAGAATTTATTACGCCTCTTAGAGTACATAAAAAAACACACACCCATACACACTGTTGAACAATTTAACCAGAAGAGTCTCTATTATTTACTGCCCTTGTTTTAAAGCATCTTGTAATTTTTTCCTTGCCAAGGACACTCTTTCCTCCTGTCGTTTGATATCCTCATCGCATATGTTAACTGCTTGTACTAAGGGCTGTTTTGGATCAAGGAAAACTCCGAGGTTTTTTTCTAGCGAACTCTTAGTGCCTGTTTGTCCTGTAACGGGTTGCGAAGAGGCGTGCAAAGCTGTCGCTACGCTCTGTATAATAGTGTCTTCAGTCACATGCGGCCCCACAGGTTTCAGACCTTTAGGAAGCTGCATTGCTTCAAACTCTGTCCCATCTATATCGCAAGCTCTTAACCCTTCTAATCGTTTCTCCCATATCAACTGCTTTGGCTTTTCTTGATTACCATTTTTATAGTCCGATTTGACTTTGCTTTCTTGAGTTTTGTACACGGTAACTGGCTGCTTGAAAATAGACGCAGTTTGCCTTATAGGCGGAACCAGCGAAGCATCGTTCCTCACGCTCCTGCCATAATACAAGTCAACTTTCCCGACTTGTAAACCTGTTTTGCGTAACATCTCTTCCCTCGGTAATCGTTTCGGTAGCTGTGCGCATTCGTATTTCGTTTTTTCAATCGTTATTCCGCTCATAACTATCTTGTTTACAAACGTCGAGCAAACACTTGTGAAGGTTAGAAACTGCCAAAACACAAAGACAGAGCTGTAGAGGCAGGTGCATTGTTCAGAACATATTGGTTAGAGACGGTTACGCGCTGCCCTCTCGCGAACGGTAGCGACACGAAATTTCATCAATAACGCGCTCTACTAACCGCTTGTTAGATGGCGCCAACGTAAATATTAATGCCAATTCGAAATACGCCAACAGTTTAACAGCCAACATTATTTAATTAACATTAATTTAGTTATTCGTCTGCAAGTGTCAATTCTGAGCGCACATTACTTTAAAATATACCGCACCAAAATTCAACAAGATTTCGACGAATAGCCGGGAGAAGTGAATGTCTTCGCTTTTTTTTTTTTGCCGACAGTGCACTAGCCTTTCTACTCACGACCTTGCTTTATTACCGCAAGGACGTTGCCCACGAATCTCGAATAGAATCATAAAACCCCGTTTACTCTATTATGTTTATATTTTTGTTGCCACAGAGCGGTACTTATCTAGCCAGCAGCGTTTGCGTCTAGCTTGCGTACTCGTACCTGCATTTTAGTGCAGAATGTTTTACTTCGCGTTGCGGTAATCGTGTGGTTATTCAAATTAGCGGTAATTCGTTGACTCTGCATTTACCGACCATATTGATATGAATTCGAAAATTTGTAATAACGATATTTTAAGTTAAAATAATTTAAGGTAGAATTTTCCTGTTCCGTGATTTATAATATCGCAAAAAAACAAGATTATTCGCTTTTCCAGAATAAAGTGAAAAAGAATTAAAAATAAAAATTCGTTTTTCACTTTACAGATCTCGAAGTTTGGGGACGGTCACTCGTTTTCAAAGTCCCGTAAACACAACCGGCAGTCAGATGACGTCATGCGATTTCGAAAACCTCGACGACGCCCGAAAATTGGTGAGAGACCTGAGACAAAAGACCAGAACGCAAGCTCAACAGATTATGGCTTGGAGGCGGGCGTATAAACTTCAAGTAAGTATTCTAGTCCCAAAAAAAATGACGCTCTTACATTCACTTACCGTTTGCAGGAAATGCTCGTGACCAGGCTGCAAAAGGAAAAATGTGAACAACTCAAAGTCCTGAGTTCAAAGCTGCTGCTTCTTGAATCCAGGCTGATACGGAAGCAAAAGGATATAGCAGCCATGTTGAACGTCAGGGAAACGATAATTTGCCGGCAGCAGAGGATTATCGAAACTCTAACTACCCGTCTGACAGACAACGGCTTGGAGGTTCCTCACGAAATCACAGAGCTGGAAAACTGCCTTCCGGATTTGGATTCGTTAAATGATTCAGATAGCGCCGTCGTCTTGGAAGACGTAGATTCTGACAGTACAGTATATCATCCAATTAAGCTTCGACCCTCCACTAGAGATGGCATCACCGTCGTTCGGTCCATATCGGATGCCATTGATCCTAACCTCAAGTACACCTCTATGCGCAGAAACAATTGTTTCCTACGAAGACCGGAGATACTGGAAACGGTATACAGTGTGGAAGAAGACGCAGATGATAACCAAAACGAGAAAACCGAAGCAAACAAACGAAGGGAGTCGTTCGCAACCAGAGGAAAGTCAAATTGTAACATAGATTCAGGCGACGAGAATGTTGCGAAGCAAAAAGCGAGGTTGCCAAATTGGTCGTGTCAGAATGGTGATGACACGACAAGCGATTCCGAAAACCAAGACAATCACAAACCCAACGCTAGTCCTGTCAGAACTTACAACAGAGTGATGCTTAATCACCGCTCGGTTACAAAACCCAAGGATGTGAAGTACAAGCGCATAAACAAAGCAAAATCGAAGAGTTTGGAAGAGCTTCGGGGCCGACTGAAAAATTGGGTGGAACAGGGCAGCAAAATACCGGGAGTCACATTAGAACACAGCCAGAGCTATGCTTAATTGTGTATTAAATGTTTTGTGATTATATTGTACTTTCATATCGCGGCTATTTTCAGTCAATTCATTTCGTCAACTTATCAGCTGAAAAAAATCTGTGATCTCTACATTGGACCTTTTATTTGATAGTTGTTTCGGCACTTGGAACTCCATTAACGCAATGTTATGCGAGACTAATACACATCTCTAACGCACAAGTGTTTAAATTCTTGTACAGTAAATTCTACCAATTTTAGGTTATGATACCCTGTTATTCTTGCGTCCTTTTTTTCTTACGTAAGCATGCCAATGATTGTTTAAAACCACTAAAGAAACCCGAATGTTTGTTCATTTTTAATTATAAGACATCCATGGAAGACAGGACAATTTATTCATAATAAAAGTATAAACCGTCAGCCAACATTGTGCGAAAAACAGTTACCTCCGAAAATTAAAGTTAGGATGACCGCAACCTTTTTATTCCACACACTAAACGATGCAAAAGCATTGTAAATAACTGTTCAATTGTTAATTAAAAGCGAAAACACTTTAAATTTCAAAATCAAAATTGAAAATGGTATATTCAGAATACTAATGTCAACTGATAATATGGAGTTGTGCTTATTGTGTCGTGTGATTCTGAATAGAAATTGAAAATATTTTCATCCCTACATAGTTGAGAATCCAAATATATAAGTCTAATTTGAACACATTTGTAAACAGTTTATTCAATAATTTCACCTTTCTTCATTGCCTACACTTCTTTTCAATTTTCAATTAAAACCTGTATAAATGCAGCTTTATTTGGCACGACTGTGCTGTGACAGACGAATAATTGTGCAAGAATTGGCACTAAAATTCAGCGCCAAGCGTCAAAAGTAAATCAATATTATTATGGCTGTAAATCACCCCTAAACTTCAAGTAATATGTTACCAACCTCTGAAGTAAAGACAATCATTTACATTTCAAGCAAAACGTGTAGAGATGGGCGACTGGAACTTGTACTTACTAAATAATGTTACTTTTCTGGGTCTCACGTTGGGCGCTAAAAGTGTATTTCGCGATTTAGCGATTCTCGCTATGACTGCATAAGTGATACAGTAATATCGTTAAAAAAAAAAGCTTATATAAATTTGCAATTCTGTACCCAAAAGGATGAAATAAAAACTTGAACCATGTACGTAGCGTTAATGATGCGACTTATTTTAATTAATGCGGTCTTTTCCTGAGCGATGTTCCTTTTCGACGCAAATATACATACGCGTGTTTGTATTGGAATATGTGATATGACTTAAGCTATCTGCTCGAAAAATTTTCCATTTTATACTTAACAGTTTTCAAACTATCTGGGCTATGATCCCAGATCTAAAATGACTTATGAAACAGCAAACCGTAGTTTTGTGTATTACTGGCGACGAGTTGGACCTTTTTATGTTCGAAAAATTTATTGGCGCTTGAAGAAAACAAAAGGTAAAACCTTTGTTTGACAAAAATGATTAGTAATCAGAATATTGATTGTTTTTAACTAAATTACAATTTAAATGCTGGAAATGTGCCACTACAGTAATTTTATTTACTATATTTTGTTATTATTTTATATTATATTTCCATCAAATATATTTGCAAGTAGATTTAAAGTAACCAAATTTATAAATATGATTTCAGTATGGTGCTGAAGTATTTACAAAACTATTGCTGCTCTACTATAGTTTTTGTGTCGAATGTTAATAATTTTAACTATTTTTGCTTTTAATAAATTTATATTTTGACAACTTTATTTCAACCTATCATATGATAAGCAGCCTTAGTACTAACATCCATTGCCAGAGAGGTTTTCTTTTAAGACATAAAATGAAGAAAGAAAAGTCCGACTCATCACTGTTGAGCAGTCTAGCATAATAGCCTAAATAATTTCTAATATATAAAAAGGTAACTAACAAACATATCACACATTTTAGTGTTGCCCGAAGAGTTCCAAACAATTTAGCGTATTTAATTTAGGTGATATAATGCCGGACTGATGCCTATCTAAAACGGTCCACGCATCTAAATATTCAAATGTTTACTAAAATTTTGAGCAAAATATGTACTCGTGACTACTGAAAGAATAATAATGAGATTTCGTGCAAAATTGGTTGTTTTTTTTTCACAAACTAGGTAATATTTGGGATTTTAAAATGTTCGTAAAAAAGAAAATGTGTTAATAAAAACAACAAAGTAACTCAAAATTAGTAATTTATATTTTCACAAAGCGTACAATTATTTTATTTTTCGTAAAAAAGAAACGAAATGTAAAGCTAAAAAAAATCACAGGATCCCTTTTGACGGAGTAACAATATTTATTCCATAAACCGAGAGCAAAAATATTTAGAGATCAATGTTATAAAAAAAATTGCCTGCAGACCATTTAGTGAACATAATTCTTCTATTTTCATCAAACAACAATTGACAAATCAAAATTTTTGGTTACTATTAATTTGAAAAGCCAAAGCAAACACCAACGAAAGAATAGTTTCCATTATTTCCTAAAGTTATCATTTTTTTTTTGGCGAGGTTGATATACCTCAGTTTTTCATAAATTTTTTAATTAGTTAAACAAATCCTAGATAAAATTAACACAACTCCAAAAAGTAAACAAAGAACCAGTTTAATTCCTGGGCATACAATTCCAAATTCGGAGATGCGCGCGCAGTTCAATCATATTACGCAATATTTGAGGTAATAAAACACAGCCTTAAAAACGAGTCGGGAAATAAATGAGTACCAAACGGAATTGCGTCCAGGGAATGAAACAGGAGAACTTTTTTTTATTAGTGAAGGCACATCTCTAAGATTAGTGACGAAAAAGCTTGCGCTTGATAATTATTATACCTCATTATTAAGCACTTTCAAATCTAATCTAACCTAGAACAAAATTATCTGCCAGAGAAAAAAAAGTGAAATATCTCGTGGGAGATACGAAAATACAGGTTGTCAACAAATACATATCCATAATTTGGTATAAATTATAATTTATGTTTACTGTTATGCAGATATGTAATGTTAATTAATTTTTAATGTGGTTCCGACAAAATAACTGAGTAAAATCGACGGCTACAATGAAGTTTTATTCTATTTGACGTGCATGCAAATTTTTAACGTGATAATACACAATATAAGATAAGGTCCCCACTCTTTCTAAGCACTTCATGGCAGCATTAATACACATATTACAAAAAGCTGAAATTGTTAGTTCAATAAAGGCATCTAACGGTTGAGATTTTCCAAGAAACATATTTTTTGACTGTGAAAAAGCATCTTGACCAAAAAAATTGTAAGGAAAACAACATTTTAAAAATGCCCTTTTAAATGAGCTAGGATATAAAAAAATTTAAATAGAAAAACAATTTTTGGAACAAAATGGGTGCGATTTTCCAAGAAACTTATTTCTTACATTTGAAAAGGCACCTTGACCAGAAACTATGATGAACTGTAACCAAAAACAATTAAATATATTTAGGCTACTGGTCATATATAAAATTTTAAAAATTAAAAAAATGCCCTTTAAGAGGAGTTAGCATATAAAAAAAATTTTAATAGAAAAAATAATTTTTGGAACAAAATGGTTTTATATATATAACTGATTCTTCCAAGTAGAAATATAACAGAACTTCTAGGCGAACAGTCTTTCACAGGATGACACAGCCCTATTAATATTCTGAATAAGATGATATTAAAAGTGTAAAAATTCCTACTACCAACTATTTTTTCCTTAACCTAATTGTTTTTAGTTCTTAAAATGTTGCCGCATATTTTATGCATGAGAGTTGAACACTTCTTTTGTGGATGGACAAATATATCTCAGTTTGATAAGTTATTTAACGAAAAGTACCTCTACTAAAACACTCTATGACTTTGCAAGCACTTGCGTCAAATCCAAGTACATCAATCATGTTGGGGATGTCCTGTGAACCTGCTGCCACAAAGTTGGGAGATGAAGGGCAAACCATAACCAATCTGAAATCAATCATAAGGTTTAAATGATGGATATAGCCTTTCAATTTAATCTTTTTTTTTTTCATTATCTACTAACAAAATTATATATCCTTACTTTGCATCTGGTAGTCTAGAGCTTTCTCGATATTTCTCAAGGGGCTCTGTCTGAAATCGAGATAACTTCTCCGTTTTGGGAATGTTCTCCCGAAACCGGTGATGTATAAAATTAATAAATACATCAAAAAGCTTATTCTCCTTTGAAGCCCATTCAAATGAACTTGAATATAAAGAATAACTGCTCTTTTTTGAACATACATTTTCCACCAGGTCAGCAAAAGAAATGTCTAACAAAAAGAAATCTGTTAAAAACTGCACAACCCCTGTTTAAGCCATATACCTTTATGGACATTAATTATATTGATTCGATCATTAAAGTATGTAGCTATTGTAACATGTTCCTCAACTTTCAACAAAACTAGAGCAAAACTAACAGCAGCTTCAACACAATTTAGGGTTTTATTCCCTATACAATGTGAGTTCATTGCTTTCTCAGTTACATCTATGGAGATGAGATATCGTTTCTTTGTGGGGATTACATTTTTGCAAGCCAATGTAAAACAGTTTTCTAAAGCAGTTAAAATAGAAGGGCATTTAGCCTCCGTTCTGGTTTTGGCTTTTTTCAATTCTTCCTCTGAAAGTTTCTTGTCATTCTGCAAATGATGGAGCAACTTGGGATCAATAGGCCTAAAAAAACGTCACAATTTGTTTGATGGTACGGCAGCAATTAGTTGCTACTCACCGACCACCCTTTTCCAATTTTTTCATGTAAGAAAATACATCAATAGGATGAACTCCGCTAGCTTTTACCTTCTCTGCGTTTGTAAAAATATCCAGTAGAAAAGCATGCACAGGGGAATTCTGCTTTAGAAGGCCTAATTTGTACAATTTTCCTAAACATGGCAAAATTTCTTTGAGGAGCATATTTGACAAAACCGCAGTCCATACCTGAACAAATAAAATGTTTTCTTTTAACCCACAATTAAAGACAATTTACTTACATCTTTTGTTTGGTGCAGATCAGGATTTACTTGGTGAATAGAATAGTCAAATTCGGTGATAATTTCAACTGCTTTTAGGGAATCACTTGTTTTCCTTAGCTCTTCAGATTTTTTAATTCTATTTATAATATCTTTTGCTTCCTGCGGCTCCGCATCACTATCAGTCTGCTTCAAAATATAATTAATAACAATGTTTTTAGCTAAAAATAAGTCAGCTTAACATTAACCCCCTACAAAATGAAATTAATCTTACTTGCAGTGTCAGATTTGACATGGGCTAACTTGATTAAATCCTTATGTGACCACTTGTGATATCGATTAAACTTAGCATAAGATTGGGCTAGTTCTAAAGGTGACTTGCGATTGTAGAATTTCCCCACTGCTTTAATGACGGTATGGGATAACTTAGATTTTTTGAGGCGAGTTTTAGAATGGTATTTAATAAAATCAAAGAATTCTTGATCACTTTGGCATATTTCCAGAACTAGGGAAGTAACCCTATGTTTTGATTCATCGCTTATGTCGTTCAAGTTTAAAATGTTCGCTAAATAGTAAAATAAAATAACCCTGTTTGGTAAGTTTTTATCTGAATTAGCTTGTTGTATCAGAGACAACAGCCCTTCCAAATTGGTTTTGACAGCTTCGTGAATTAAGCTGTAAGTTGCTTCTGAGGAAAATCCCTTGTAAAGATCGATGTTACCGACTGCATAGCTGGAATTGGCTGAGTTAATGTAAAGAACACGCAGCAGCCTCTCACGCTCTGTTAGTGTTGACAGAGCCATCACTACAATAAACAAACACATAATTTTTATGGTACTTTCCTTAAACACTTTAACTACTCCAAATATTCGAAATATTCTTTAAAAACAATATTATTGAGTTAACGCATTGTTTACGATACTAAATAATTAAATTTTTACCTGAAAGACTCTTGATATAACTATCCTTAATTTTTGAGTTCACAATCTGGCCAAAACAAAACGAAATTTATTTTTGCAAACTGTCAGAAATAACTAAAGTTGGTCGTAAACACACAAATTTTGACGTTGATAAATATGGTGTTTATGAACCTCTATAATTACGATTATTAGCAACACTCCAAAAGTACAAACTATTTCAAACGTCCTTTGCAGCTTTTTTACAAAAATAATATTTATATTTTATAAAAAACCATCAAAGTTTCGTGAAACTTTAACGTCTAGGTTCGCCCTTTTTAGGCTTTTGACATTTCTGAGAGGAAAACGTGTTTACTCAGCTGGCAACTGACGGAAGGCTTATGCTAATTCGTTTCAGGAAAATTTAGAACCTGGACGCTATTTTTATCTTTGTCTCTCTTTAAAACGAACAAATTTATACATTTGGTCAGGTCAGTATAGATTGGCTATATTGTTAAATTATTCCTGCTGAAGGCTGAAAAACATTATCTTATCAAAGACAACTTTTTAAGACCCTCAGTTATTTCAAATTTCCTGAAAATATTTGCTATGTGTTTCTTTATTCAATAAATCATGTTTCTTTGAATTTTCCAATCTGGGAACTATGCTAGTGCTTGCTCAGAATGTTTTCATGAGCATATGGATAAAAATTAAATTCGATATAAAACATGTTTTCCGCTTTTAAAAGACTTGCTAACAAGGGTGATGGAACTCCTAACGGTGCTTCCACCCCTGGAAAAATTACCAGTCACCAAACAATGTCTTCATCACTTCAACGGAAATTCGCTAAGGGTGTTCAATATAACAGTAAGCTTTTATTATGGTTTTAGATCTATAATTTAAGTGGATTCTTTTCAGTGAAAATTGTTATAAAAGGTGATCGGAACGTAGGCAAAACATGTCTGTTTCATCGACTTCAAGGATTAAAATTTATAGAAGAATATGTGCCGACAGAAGAAATTCAAGTTGCATCTATCCAATGGAACTACAAGGCTACAGACGATATAGTTAAAGTTGAAGTCTGGGACGTGGTTGATAGGGGTAAGAAGAAGAAACATTTCGATGGACTCAAGCTAGAAAATTCCCAACTGGAGATGCCAGAGGAAGCCGCATTAGATGCAGAGTTTTTGGATGTTTACAAGGGTACAAATGGTGTTATTATAATGCTAGATTTAACCAAATCGTGGACTTTTGATTATGTCCAAAGAGAGCTGCCCAAAATTCCTAGTCACATTCCAGTTATAATTTTATCTAATCACTGCGATATGTCACATCACCGGACTGTTACTGCAGATCATGTGAACTTTTATATTGATTCAATAGCAGAGTAAGTATCAAAAAAAATTTGTTATTATTATTATTTTTTTCATGATTATTCTATGAAGGAACTAACATTTCACATTAAATTGAATAAACTTTATAAAGAACAAGGAGAATTTTTCAAAACATGAACAATTTCAAACACAGAATGACAATGCATCAAAAGGAATGTAATAACAAGAAGCTTACAGTCAAAGTAAAATTGAAAGTGCTGAATATGTCCTGAGTAATCAATTCAGAAGAAGGAAGCTTCGAGAAACTATGTGTCAGAAAGAAAAAAACCTATCAGAAAAGCATCTAAGAGAAAATACTGGAAATTATTATCATTATTTAATCACATTCTCCAACTTAATTGCCACATATCAAGAAATAATTTTGTCTTAGTAGGTGTTCGAACTTTTGCCAAAAAAATATTAATAACTGTAGAAAACTACAGAATGCAGAAAGTTGGGGTTGTTGAAAAGGGCTGGCCAGATTGATACACATGCGGAAAATAAGTAAAATTTATTTTCCCAAAAAAACTAAATACAATGACATCACTTTTGTTGCAACAAAAGATGGCTAAATAAGAGCCTACCATGCTAATAAAAAACCGCATATCAAAATATTTTTCTTAACCTATACAGACTGTCCAAATAGTGTGTCATAGAAATGTATCTAGTTTAATATTGTTTCAGAGAAAAATGGTAGATACTAAAGTTATAGATTAGAATAAAAGAAACAATTTAAAATTATGTTCAAACATGCTTGATAAATATGTGAGAACTCAAACTTATTTTTTAACGGAATACCCTGTATGTTATGACATTAACAGATCTCTTTTATACTCAATCACTCAATGTAGGGCTGTTATGGTCTATACTGAGTGTTTTCGAATTTATGGCAATTTTAAGCAATACTAATATTGCTAATAGTTAGAGAAAAAACATTTTAAAACTAATAGCCAAATTGCAAAACAAAATATCTGTTTGATTAAGTTTCATTTATGTATTGTTCGAAACATCTTCCACCAACTTCGATGCACACTCTACCGTGGTCTTCAACATATCCCCACAGAAAATAGTCCATCTTGGTTAGATCAGGGAATCTAGGTGGCCATCTTCTAATCGGACCACCTCTTCCTATTCACCATTGACGAAATAACTTGATGGGCATAGTATGCAAGAACTCACTTCACTGGGAATATTTCTTAATAAACCACATCTGCTCTAAAAAGTCTACGTAAACTTGCCCCTTAACTATATTAAAAAAAATAAGGCCTTACAACGTTATTTCCTATCATACCACCTGAAACATTTTTGCTGACTATGTGTCATTATATATAAGAGTGAAAATTATGCCTATTAAGACAACCGCTTTTATGGAATGGAAGTCATCTTGCTCAAAAATTTTTTCTTGTGCCCATTCACAAAATATTGATGTAATTTGATAATTTTCATTATGTTCTTGATATACCTGAAAAAATAGTAAGTTTAAGTATAAGGAATGCTTAATAAAATTGAAAGAGCATAGAATAAAAGTAATTAATGGAAGTGTAATATATAGGTTGTTTTATTTGATTAAAAAAAAATATTTTTTATTTTGACTCACCTTGTATAAACGATTCGAACTAACTTCAAGAAAAGTATAGGATGAATGACTGTACGACTTCATAAAATTGTTGGTAAAACGATTCGAACTATCTTCAACACAAGTATATGACAAATGACTATTAATTTATAAAATTGTTGGCATAATGAAATTAGAATCTCCTTGAATATTTGAAAATAATTTTAAATTGTTCCTTTTCGTCATATCTATAACTTTTGTATGTAATATTTGTTCTAAAACAAATAATAAATTTTATATAATTTTGACACACGATTTGGACACCCTGTATTATGAATAACAAAAATAAAAACTCCAAATAATGTCGTATCCTTGATATTTTCGTTATACGTGCCATTTTTAATCCTAATTTTCGTTCTTTAGCAAAATATATGTAAATTTCCTTTTAATATTTAAAAATTATATTTAAAATGTCAATAATAATTCTTGGCGAATCCATAATGTGAACAGAATGTTTTTGCTGAGAAATTCTCAAAATTGCCTGAGAAGTGCCGGAAATAATTTTTGCGATAATTATATTTATGTAAGTCGTTTAAATTTTTGTAGAAGTAGGTCTGCGCAAATTAGGCATACCGAGTCATCTATGCGAAATGGTTTTGGACTTAAAGTTTTACACAAGTTTTTCAATTTGCCATTCTTGCAATTGCAAAAACAGTCTCTGCTACGACAACTTGAAAGAAACGAACTCGAGACTGCGGCAACTATACAAGAATTGGATATATTTTGCGACTCCGATGAAGCAAATTATAGCAAATTCTTAGAGAATTTGGTCAAAAAACGGCGGGAAGTTGCCGATTCCAATGCTAACATCCCACCCCCATTGGCGCGCCCCCCCGTTCCGGGAAACTCTACGACTACCGATATGAAACGTTCACAGAGTTGTTCCATCGTAATTGGTGCAGGCAGACCCATACCATATGGTAACTCGTCGAACTTTAACGATCCGAAACCGTCTGTGTCAGCCATCAATAATACCGAGGTAGCTAAAAACCGGTTACCAGATAAAAAGAAGTTGGAAATTAGTCCCGTAACTTCCCTCGAGGAGTTTTGCCCAGATGGTGGCCAGTTATCTGGGTTTCTGGATGATGTTCAAGTCAATCTGCAGAGCAATTTGAAATTGGTACCTGATGAACTATCTGATTCGTAAGTCTTGGTATACGGTTATTGTATTTTTCCTAGTGTCCTTAAAAAAGTTCATTGGCTATTTGATTTTTTGAAATTAATAATTTAGATATACTCTGACTTTAGCATTAGTTTAGGCAATTTTACAAGAACATATTTTTTTTCTATTCCGTACTCCAAAATACATAATCATGCCTGTTCAGGCGTGCGTAAAGTGCTACTTTAAATTCTCAGTTTCATTAAATACGTGTTTAGAAACTTGTTCGAACACTGATTTATGAAAAACTTGCCCGGTTGTACCTAAGCTTAAGTGACTAAACTTGGTCCATAATATAATCTGATGCCCATACCTTCGCAAAGCGAGGGTTTCGCGGTGCAATTTAAAGTACAAAAAAATCATGTATATGTCATATTTATATTTTTTTGATTATTTGTTTTTTTGTTCAATACAGAGTGTTCGAAATATCGTTTGCGCCCCGTTTAAGGCTGTAGATCGTCGTAAAATCTTTGTAAGCTGTGTAAATTCTATTTTGTTCACATCTAATCATCTCTAATGATATTTAATTTTAAGAAAATCGTTAGTATCTTTCAGTGAAATCTGTCTAACAAAAAAGAATTATCAAAATTGAGCCTTAAACAAACATTCTACAGGCGTAATGCTTAAGCGAGGCGACCGCAATGTTGCCAGCACACTATATTCGTTTATTAGTATAGTTAGGTTTTATGTAATCCTGAATAAGGAGTCTTTGTTAGAAACATAAGTTTTTAGTGCGTTTTTGAGAGATCTATTCAACAAAATAAATTTATCAAACTCAAATCGTTCTAAAAGTTGGTACAGTTGGTTCAAAGTACTCCTGACTATAAGTTGAAGCAATAGGAAAAACAAGGTTTTAGTGCATTTTTAGAGACCTATCCAAAAACTATATCAAAATCGAACCATAAACAAAGATTTTACAAGGGTGTACAGTTCTTATGTGGGACACACGGTATATATGCTTTGTCAGGCTTTCACACACTTTAACATTTTATTTCTACCATTATTTTTTAAAATAATAGACCAAGGAAACCACAAAACAAATTATTGTGTTTTGCAATTCTTTTGTTTTTCACTTAAAGGAATGATACCATTTCAATTATTAAGTCATAGGGACCTTATGAATTCCAGAAAGTCGGCTGTAAATAATGGTTTAATTGTGTTCCGCGAACGGAAAACATTATTACAAAAATGTAGTAATTTCTGAAAATTTGCCAAACTCAAATTTTATTTAAATTTAATAATAAAGAAATATAGTGTATTGCGTTAAACAATATATTTTCTTCTAGCGATACGGATACCGGTAATCCGCTAGTATCGGAACTTCAAGAGGACATTGAACCCGAGGAATTGTCAATCTCAAAACCGCCAATAAAAGTCGTTCGAAAGATGGACGGTGTGTGCTCGGCCCCTGTTAGGATAGGAAAATCTGACGGCAGCAGCGAAATTGAGCTGGAAAAGACTTTGCCGGATGATTATGACATGAAACAAACTGTGGACGAGTTTGATTCTACTATTAATTCTGAGATATCGGAGTTGACGTCGGATGTCTATGACGCTTGGATAGGTACCGATACTAAGTTGAGACGATCGCCCGAAGGCAAGGCTATGCTAAAAATAAGTCGCATTTTTCTACAACTTATATTTTTAGGAGGCGAAGATAATTCACTTGTAAGCCAGACCTTGGATTATAGTAACAGTGCTGCATATGACGATACGACCAGCGTGACATCTTCTAACGTTCACATGGAACTTTTGACTTCTAAGAAAACGCCCAGTTCGGGCAACATAAGTTTCCAGAGCGAATGTGAAGACACGCACCCCTCCACTTCGTTGAAAAAGGACAAAGTGAAGGAAAAGGTATGTGGATCAGATAGTGAGACTCTTGAAAATGGAGCTTTAGTATAGTTAGGAAGGTTTCAACCATGAAACTTAGTGTGGCACCGGTTTTTGACTTGGATCGTTTTTTTAATTGTATTTAGGTTACACATTAATTAATTATTGATCCTAATTATGGTTTGGACCAATTAAACTTAGAATGCTTTGACGTTTCTTGTGTTAAAACTTGTAGCTAGAGTTTTCCAAATACAATCTTTTATGGTTTTGACTTCGGATTGAGTTTAAGACCGGCCTGTTGTAAAGCATAAGAGACCATTCCTTTCAGTACGTGTACCAAATATTTTCCTAGGAAATCAATACAGATAATTGATTTATAATGATTGATTGATTTATAAACAGTATTTTCTTAGCCGTCGAAGCTTTTGAGTTATTTCCATTCCGTCTTGTGTTCCTAATTAGTAATTACCAACTTACTGTTATTCACTGCATGAACTAATAATAATCGAGGAATCTCGACGACGAAGCTCTACACAAATCCTTCGGCTTTCAGCATTTGTAGGCACGAAGTACCGAAGCACGGTTTTGGAATGTCATTGTGGAATTGCGAATCTATTTATTAAGGGTTACAAAGCGAGGTAGGCCTGCGGTTAGACCTTGATAAAATTTTACAAAGTTAAATACGATTAAGTCGTAAAAACGGTATATTGTTTGCAGAACTCTAACATGTAAACACACTCATTACTTACTAAACTAAATACGAGTTGAGTTTATATTAACTAGCCCCTTCAACAATCGATGTTAGGTTTTGCGATTTTTTTTTCAAAATTTCCGAGAGCATTTTTTTGAATGGTTTTCTTATTAATGTGTATCGACGAGATGTTGTAATGTGACAAAAAAATTAAACTATTAATTTTCGCGGGTCGCCTTTCTATAAATAAATTCAGAAGCTTTATTTGAGCCACACTCTATTTGGCGACTTGTGATTAAGAAAGTGTGGCACCAATCAGAATAATATATTCCAATAATATATTTCTGTTGAGGTTGTTATTGTGTAGAATAAAAGGATAAAATTAATGCAGATCAACTGAACAACGCAGTTGTTGAAAGCTCTTAACCTAACCAACTACCTGCAAACGGTCCTAAAAAGTGCATCGTAGACCCATGTTACCTATATTATTCAGAATTACCACTTAAATAGCAAAATGTCCAAAAGATGCAGATATTAAACAACCATTGACAAATTATACGATCCATGAATCTTCATAACAATTTCTTCAACACAAACAATTCTTTTCAATGTTTAGAAATAATTTGTTTTGAAAATGCTAGTCAATAAATTGCTGAATACACATTCATTTTGTTTCTAAGGATTAATTAAACGCTTATTTAAAATGGTTTTGCGCTGTTTAGTTTAGGATCATTCTAACTTCCCGTTTTCATAGGTAGGTGACATCGTACAGCATAAACTTTTTGCACTTTCAGGTTAAAGAGCTTAAAAATGCAAATAAAAAGATTTTTTTGCTTGTTTTGGTTATTTCACATAACAAAACAATAAAATGTTTTCAACCTTTTTTCCATATATTCCTGAAGTTGAGTACACTGTTTCCGAGATGTTTATCTAAAAAAAACACTCTTCCAGTCTGAGAAGAAAGAAAAACATAAAAAATCGAAACACAAAGACAAAGAGAAAAACCACACCTCGAACAAACTCGACAAAGGCGAGAAGAAGCTGAAGCGCAAATCTCGTAGCGGCACAGCGTCTCGCAGAGACGAGCTCGAAGAGTTTTTGAACGGCAGTCCCCATTCACCTATCAACGATGACGCTTACGAGAGCATATAGCATTTATGCAATTCAATACCAAAGAATTTAAGACACGTGTTGATCTGCCAGAGAATGCTATTTGAGCCGTTGGTGGACGTGTTTGTGGCTACTTAGAGGGCCGCAAATGGGCAGAGTCGTGATATATTGTAAGAGGCCAAATTTATTAAAATGACAAAAGCGAAAGTGATATACGGAGTTATGCGCAATGTCGTTATGTTTTTTCTTGTATACAGCCATTCCTGAAAAAGACAATATATTTAAAATACAATACCTGTAAGATTGTTTCATTTACACATTTCAATTTCGAAAAAATTATTGCCTCATAGTATTTCTATCGCTGCAGTTGCTTTTTATATCCATACAAGATTTTATATTAGCTTTAATGTTGTTAAAATGGAAACTGCGTTTATATATTGTTAGTGCGTAATATTTTCGTGAAGTCTGCATGCATTCTCGAATTAATATGGTGCATTTTGCAAATTAACTAATCCTAAAAAAAATCCGAGTTACTGTTTTATATTGTTGTATTACTGTATAATAAAGAGATATATCTATGTCAACTTTTGTGCGTTTTATTTATTCAATCTACAGTGTGTCCCACTTAAGAACTTCGCACCCTTGTAAAATCTTTGTTTATTTTGATAATTTTTTTTGTTGGATTTGTCTGAAAAGTGCACTAAAACCTTGGTGCCGTTAGATATTTAGAAAAAATTGATTGGAGTACTTAGAACCTAAGTATACAATTTTTTAATGTTTCAATGCAGGGTGTTTGAAATATCGTTTGCGTCCCGCTTAAGGCTTTACATTGTTGTAAAATCTTTCATTATGTTGGATGTTGGATGGATCTCTCAAAAACGTATTAAAACCTTATGTTTCTTATTACATCAAGGGTTTGATTTTGATTATTCTTTTTTTGTTAATGATTTAAGCGGATTAGATTTGAACTAAACAGACTACAACGCTGTATTTTTTTAATTAAAAAGGATTTTTAATCCTCATCTGATAATGAAAATAACAGAAATATCAAATGTGATTCACGTCGGCCTTTTCCTACGTAAAACGAAGTTTGTCATGGACTTGTAAATCCACTGGATAATATACATTTTAATTTTGTTTACATTATACCATTCCAATACTAAGATTTATTAATGCTGTTTTTTTAAGATGATACTAAAATGTAAATGTCCCTTAAAAGTCTTTTTATCATTATTTTTGAAATTTGTATAATCAAAATTTGTAAGATCTTAAAATAACATACAGAATAATCGTTATTTACAAGGTATACAATATTTATTTTTTTAAACTATTAAAAACTTTGGTCACTGGGGTAGTTAATTTTAAGTAGTCTTGAATACGAATCTGCTGCCATTTTCAAGTTGAAAAAATCTCTCAAAGTACTTTCAGCATTAAAAAACTGCGTCAGTTAGCCACGCCTTTAGTCGATGCTATATGAAAAACTCGTTTCATTTCTCTTTACCAAGTTATGTCTAGCAAAAACGAATTATCAAAATTGAACCATAAACAAACATCCTACAGGAGTAATGCTTAAGCGAACTTCTTGGAAAATAGTATAGTTAGGTTTTATGTAGTCCTGAATAAGTCCTGAGAAGAATTCGCTATTTGACATCAAAAATTAGTCCCAGGTGGCCGTGACTTTAGGTTGATGTAAAAAGAAACAAGGTTCTAGTGCGTTTCTAAGAGATTTATCCAATAAAACAAATTATCGTAATCTAACCGTAATCAAAGATTTTACAACGATGTACGGCCTTAAGAGGGGCACAAACGATATTTCAAACACTCTGTATTAAAACATTATAAAAATTGGTATAATTGGGTTCTAAGTACTCCTCGATAATAATTTGTTTCCAATTTATTTTTTTTATAATCCCTAATAGTACTTCTCTCTATTTTGTTAAATGGTCCCAGTTGTTCATTACTTTAAGTTGAAGCAATAAGCCAAACAATCAAAAATTATCAAAATCGAACCAAAAATAAAGATTTTACAAGGGTGTACAGTTCTTAAGGGTAACACATAGGCCCTGATTTATTTATTAGAAGAAAAAACAAAAAACCGAATCTTTCCCAAAAAGTCGTAGATATGCGTATATGTGGAAAGTACTGTGTACAGGATACGCGCGATGTGGAAGTCATAAAACCGACAGAGGGTACAAACAAATACAGCTTTGTCAAATTAAAAAGACAACGTTAATACAAGTGATTAATTTTACGCGCTTGATTTTACTCTCTATCAGCAAAAATCCAAAAAGCTGTTGCAGTCAGTCAGAAAAAAAGTAAAACTGAATTTATCTGCCTTTTTATTCGGTTTTAGGATTGGATTATATATTTTGCCCAGATCTACAAAACTTCCCAACCACTGACTGAGTTCCCCAACAGTTTTTGGTCTTTCCAGCAGGATTCGAACCAGCCCACCATTCTCAATCTCAATCAAACCAACTTTTGTAGTATGGGGTAAACGGACCACATAACACACTTAATATTTTTTTCTACCCGCTTCTGTAAAATACCTAATTATTTACCGATTTAACATGCGGCAAGCGTCACTTTACCACGTGAGTTTCTTGTCCCACGGGTCCGAACCACTTCGGACATTTTACCGCACGGCTTGAATTCTGACGTTTGTCAATTCTGACGGTCCTCTCAATGAATGGATCGGTGCTGTTTTGCAAAAATGTTTTTCTACTCCCGTCTGTAAAATACCTAATTACCCACCGATCTAGCGTGCGGGAAAGTCATTTCGGACATTTCCGAGATTTTACCGCACGGATTTGGGAGCGATCGGATGTTTTCGGATATATTTCCTAAGCTTTGAATTTTGACGTTTGTCAATTCTGACGGTAATGTCAGTGAATGTACTCGTGTTGTTTTGCGAAAATGTACCCAAAAACTAACGGTCGTAGAAAAAGTATAGTATGCAACACGTTCGGTAAACTTTTTAACTCACAAGTTTATTTGAGACGAGCGGAGCGAGTTTTTAATAAACGAGTACTTCTTGCATAATATACTATTACCATACTTCTCGCATAACATACACCGATCTAGCGTGCAGAAAGTGTCACTTTTTAGCGGAGCATTTTTCGGGATATTACCGCACAGTTTAAATTTTGACGTTTGTTAATTTTTGACGGTCATTTCGGTCAATGCATTCGTGTTGTTTTGCAAAAATGTACCGAAAAATTATAGTATGCAACACGTTTGGTAAACTTTTTATGTCGCTTGTTTATTAATCACTCGCTCCGTTACGCTCCGCTCGTGTCAAATAAACTCGTGACTCAAATGTCGTTTACCACACTTGGTGCATAATATACTATCAATATTCTCTATTGGCTTCCTTCCTTCTTCCTCTCTTCGGTTACAAAACTCGCAATACCAACATAAAATTTGAATTTCTGGCGCGAACGACCACACTTTTGATCCGTGCCTTCCAATACTTCTAAGCCTCTAGTCATTGGATAATATAGAAAAAAAACCGTAAAATTTATTCCCCTCAGGTAGTGAATGCCCATAAATTTCGCACTAACTTAGACTTTTCTTTCCAGCAAAGTGCGCACACCTGAGTTAACTAGTTTTTCCCCTGAAAATTTGATGGGATCTTGTCATATTTCGACAAAATAATATCAAAGAACTGCCACATCCATTCTGAAAACCGTCAGCGGTCATATGTTCATTGTTAAGCGCCTCAATGAATTTATTTTTATTCCTTACATCTAATATGACGTTGATTTTAGCACAATTTTTAGTAACTATAACTAGTCTTAAAATTGCAACTTAGGAATAATATTAAATTTTCTCTAAATGTATTAGCCGGCTTTCATTAAAGTTGTTTTCGCTATCGATAACGCTAATAGGCGTATAAAACACGAAATAATATACATGCCACTTATTTAAAATTTATTTCTGCTTTTGCGCCATTAAATTTTTCAATTTGTTTGCGTTGGTGACGGCATGACAAACACGCGACATGATATAATTCATTTTTTGTTAATTTCGATGCTAATATGTTTAACTCAATGTGCGTTAGTACATCCTGCGCTTGATGACGACTCCGCAGCAGAGCAAAAATGTTTCAGAAAAATAATAAGCAGCATCACAGGAAATTGTCTGATCGTTGCTAACCGACAAATAAAAACAACACGCTTTTCCGTTATCAGCTTGAACGCTGAGTTGACTAAGCGGGTGGCAGCTCATTATCCGTGCTTAATATACGTATTCGATTTGCGAAGTCTTGCAGCACTCACAAATTTTTACCGTCAACTCGGGAATTTTGAGCCCAGAGCTTGGTACGTTATACAACGGAGCACGGTAAACTCGACCCTTTTCAAAATGTTGGCGAAGAACTTCGTAACTAAAGTTTATGTTATCGACGAAACGTTTAAAGTATTTACGTATTTTCCTTACAAATATGAAAGTATTAATCGACCTGATGTATCGCCACAAATTGTAGGGGAATGCGAAAATATATCCCTCGCTTATACTTTCCGTAAGTTTCCTTTGAATACTTGGTATCTAAATACGTATGACACACGTATCACTTCAAACACCGGTGTCACACGTTACCTTTCTCTTTTCTCTATTCTTCCTAAGCACTTCCTGGAATTGCTGCTCACCATGTTCTGCGTCGTATTATTTACGTTAACCATTGGTCTGTACCTTAAAGCATGCAGAATCAGCACCTCTTAAAATAATTACTTCACAAACTGCACTGAGAAAATGTGTTTAAATTTAAATTTAAGGAGACCTGGTTGGTTATTAAATATCTATGGACAAAATAAATGCGCACCTATATGACACTAAGGCGACTTATTAAACCAACTTTCTCAGTGTGCTTAATATCTGAGGAGCATTTTTCTTACGTAACAATTACACTTGCAGCGTACCCCAAGAAATGGAGGAACACTACTCTTAGGGTCTACTTTCGCAAGGTGATACCGTTCGTCATTGGTTACGGTTTAGGGTTAGAAGAAAAACTGTTGAAAGATTGTATCCAACCGCTCGGAATGAAATTGAATGCGACTTATCATAATCACACATTTCAGGGAGACAAGATCAACGGTTCCTACGAGAATAGAGGGTTGCAGCTGTTATATGAAAAAGAGTACGACGCGGCGATAGGAGCGTACCATGCTCATGCAGGTTCTAGTGCGTTCGATTTCGATAATTCCGCTGTTTACGTTATAGACGTGGAGATATTTATATTCCCCACATCCCTTCAGAGGACGAACTGGGAGAGAATATTTAACCTCTTCTCCATAGAGGCGAAGTTTGCTTATTATGGTATGGTGGTATTTTGGGTAATGGCCGTTCATTTTCTTTACGGAGAAAAAATCATTACTCTCTTGAAGCTCACCTACATAATATCTGTACAAGTAGCGGATAATAAAATTCCAACTGACCACTATAAGTTTCGAATACCTCTCGGCTTTTGGCTAATGTGCCTCTACATCATTACGACCATGTTTACCAGCTCCTGCCAAGGAATATTCTACAGTGTGTCATATTCAAAGCCGATGTATTCTGTGAATGATGTTTTAACATCTGATCTACCCCTATTGGTACCACCCGAAACGTTGGACCGATACGCCGAAAGTTCTAGCGAAATAGATCAGGGATTGTACGCCAAAATGCAGGTTTGCCGGAACAGAACCAGTTGCGTGGTCGACATGTGCAGAAATAGAAACGCCAGCCTCACGGGCGCTAAATTCAGTATATTGTTTTTGGTACTACTTCATTGTTTGGATGCTGGCTCTGGGAAATTGCTTATAGACATCGGACAGGACATTCGTTGGGCTTATCAACTGACGTTCTTCACTAAAGGTTATCCGGCTTACTCTGCGATGAACCGCAACCTCAAAAATTTTGTGTTATACGGCGGTATCACCACCAGGGAATACAGAAATTCCAAAGAGCAGTTCTTCACGATAATCGGCAAAAACAAGAAGACCATACGGTCTGACGATCTGGGCATAAAAGAGTTGACTTTTATGCTTGTATTCTGGACGGCGGGGATAGGCTTCGCCACCTTAACTTTCTTCTTCGAATTGTGGTATTCGAGGTGGTCCGTATCAAGAATGAAATGATCGACTACACAATAAAATCTAATTATTTTTTCTTGTGCGCACGCGCACTATTAAGACTCGAAAAATAATTAGTAATAATCGATTAATAATTAATACCTTTTAGTTATGTATATTTCAATTACAGTCATTTTTATTTTCTAATGCTAAAACGATGCGAATATATTTCGAAATTATTGTAAATTGTCTGGTAAACTTTTTAAGCCACTCGTTTATTAAACACTCGCTCCAATGCGCTCCGTGCCAAATAAACTCGTGACTTAAATGCCGTTTACTACACTTATTGATTTCATCTTCAAACGAAATCGTATATTTCTGGAAGGAAAACGTTATTCTGAGAAATTTGTGTTATACTTTTTTGTATTAATTATTTTTATGTCAAATGAAACATCATAATAGTAAGAAATGAATCCAAACTGATCAACTCAAATGATATTCAAATTTTGTATGCTAATATATTTGTTTTTCTCTAGATATTTTGACTTTTTCTTCTGTTACGCAACACACAAATTCTTTGAATTATACTCTGTATATTAGACTGTCCCCATCTTTAAAACATCTCTATAATAAAAAATTTAAAAGATCAACGAAAGAATATCTGCTTGCTCATTGTTTTTATTGAGTTCAACAATAGCTCGATCATAGTTGTTAATTAGTTAAATTATTAAACCAAATTTTAAGAATTGCGTACCTGTTTTATATTTTTTTATTTTGGTTATATTTATAATTTTAATATTCTTTTATTCGTCTGTATATGTGTGTGGCTTTATATATAATTGTTTTACATTTATATTCTTTTGATTTGCTATAATATACCTTGACCAAAATAATCAATTAGAATAGAAATAATCAAATCAATAATCAATCAATTCCATTCTATTCACATTTTTGCAATTTAACGATTTTTTAAATCGACTTATAGTATTGAACTCATAGTCACCGTTGATATCACTTCACTATTTTTAAAGCTGTTTATTTAGAAAATTACGCTGGAAGATTTTATTTTTAAAAAATACCAAAAAAATTTTTTGAATCAAAATTAGAATAGTATTAGTTTGAGGATAAATATAAGAGGAGTGGAAAATTAAATTAAAAATGTCTTCAATTGTTTCCTTTCAATCAAGCTACCTTATCCATCCCATAATACGTTGTATTTATTTAATTGCTTCTCGAAATTAATGTTTTACTTAAGGAAAAATAGTATAACTATTACGGCAATTAAGTCCGATTCTTGTTTATAAATTTAGTACCGAATGTGGTTAAGAAGTGCGTGTTTTATTCTAAAATATTACCATTTAAATTCTTATCGTGTTGGTTCAATTAGTTTGTATTTAACGCGTGTCACCGATTATTCAACATCGCTCTAACTGGCACGCAACAATCCATGTACAATTTTGCGTTTTACCCTTTAGTTGTTATCGTAGCAACCCGATGCATTTCAAACATGAAAAATTACGTGTTATCGATTACGGTTTCCCTGTTTTATGTTACTACGCGTAACGCAAAACCCACCCTAGAGGACGATATAAGGTCGAGAGTGGATTCATCCTATTCGACCCAAGAAGCGAATTGTTTGAACAATTTACTGCAATTACTAGGCGATAACTTTACAGTCGTTACAAATTCTGCCATCAAAATTAACCACGTCCCTGTGGTAAATATAGACCAGCGTTTTAACCATCCCGTATCGCTACATTCGCGAAAATTATCTTATGTATTTAACCTCAAAAATCAGAAAGTTCTGGACGCCTTCGCGTTCCACCTGACTCGTGGTAACTTCGAACCGAGGGCCCTGTATATTATTCTGGTTTTTACCATTAGCGAGACGCCTTTTACGCTCCTCGCGAAAAATTTCGTATACAGGGTGTACGTAGTCGACGATAATTTTACGGTATTCACGTATTCGCCTTACAGATACGAGAACATCGGTTATCCGGAACTCTCTTACTTAGAATTAGGAAATTGCAATGACCCGTTTCAAGGAACGAACTATACTAAAAGTGGTAAGTAGTCTGTGTTGTATAGTTTCCTCACATATGATAATAACATTTATTTGTAAATTCCATGGAATGGTGAAAGGAGTTCAGAACTGTTAATAGTTCAGCGCCAAAAACAAAACACTTAAACATACAACAAAATATATTACGAACAAAATTTGTTGTACTATTAGGTCTCCATACAAAGCTATGTATTAATGTACATCAGGTAACAGAATTCCTTACCCTAATAATCTAATTACCGAGAACCTGGTCGTCCGTGTTTTTCTCGTAATAAGCTATTGTGTTAATGCCATTATCGGTATGTATAAAAGCACACCATTGTTTCAATCAGCTCTAATTTGACTTAGTGAATACGGCGAACATGGCGAGTAAGCGAAAAATTTTATCTCTAGATGATAAAGTTGCTTTAATTCGGGAGATAGAACGGGGAGAAAAGAAAAGTGATGTGGGACGTAGATATGGACTTACACCGTCGACTGAATCCAGTTCTAGTAAAAAACTAAGAAAGCTAAAATTTGAAGCTTTGGATCGGGCAATGTTGCAGTGGTGCCAACAGCAACGTCTTAAGAATGTACCACTTTCTGGACCTATCGTAAAACTAAAAGCAGAAAAGTTTGCTGAACAGCTTGGCATTATCGATTTTATGGCCTGGAAGGATGGTTGGGGAAGTTCAATCAGAGACATGGAATAAATTATGGACAGACTGGCTGAAGAAGACGTGGCCAAAACTAGCAGAAAAGTACCCTGCTGACGAAACTGGTATTTTGTACCAAACGACGCTAGATAAAACTCTTAATTATCAAAGCGAAAAGTGTGTGGGTGGAAAACTTCCTAAAGAACGTATAACAATGTTAGTAGCTGCCAATATGAGTGGTAAAGAAAAAGCTAACCCACGATGTTTTAAGAACATCAAGCATTTGCCAATCACTTACAAGGCAAACAAGGTCTGCATGGATGACATCGCAAATTTTTGAAAAGGAGTTACGGAAATGTGATGCAGAATTAAAGGAGAGGAAAATATTACTGCTCTGCACATCCAAAAATAAGGAATATTGGCATTTCTTTCAGCCAAAACCACAAGTGTATTACAACCGATGGACCAGAGCGTAATAAAAAGTGTTAAGAGTCGATACAGGAAAAACATTTTAATGGAAATGATCGAGTCCGAAGACAATTTTGTCATAAATATGCTAGATGCAGTCAACTTTATTAGTAAAGCTTGTAAAGAGGTGACAGCAGAAACAATTCAACACTCCTATCGTCATGCAGGACTTATTACCGAGACAGAATGCGAACAGCACTGGGAAGATGATCAGCCACTAAGCGAGTGAATAAAGCAGTTTCAAACAACAATTACGTTTACAATTGAGGAGTTGCAAGATTTTATGGTGATAGATCAGGATTTGCCTACAACAGCAGACTTGACAGAGGAAGCCATATTACAACAAGCAAGAAAGGGCGAGGAAGAGCACCAAGAGGAAGAAGAAGATGAAGAAGTTGATCTGGAACCACCATCAACTATTCAACAACTATATTCAGTTAAGCTGCTGGAGCAATTTTTTATATATCAAGGGAAATATGCCCCTCTCGAAGAAATGGTGAAAATACAAGCTAAGGTACGAGATGCGTATTGGCATACTAAAAAAATTCAAAAGAAAATGACCGATTATTTGAAACATTAAATGTAGTTTTGAAATATTTATATAAAATGTTCCCAAGTAGATGTTAAAGTTTGTATATAAAATAATTAAATATTACAGAAGACATATGTGTACTATTATTTTTCTAGTGTCTATAACTCTTTATAAGAAAAAAAAAAGCAGTCCCTTCAATTTCGCTATATAAAGATGCGACTGTATATGTATAATAGTATATATAGTATATAATATTAGAGTTCTCCGAACGGTATACCGTTTTTACAACCTTTTATAGTTTTGATTTCGGAATGAGTTTGAGACCCGTCTATTGTAAAGCAGAAGGGACCATTGTTTTGAGCACGTGTACCCCAAGCCAGGGCCGTATTCAAGATGTTAGCCGACAAGAACTGTACCTAGTAGTAGGAAAATTCTCTTGGATTAAACTTAAAATTATTAATTAATTAATTTTTTTAATTAAATTAAAAACTTTATTTAAAGAAGGTAGTTTTGGGTATATCTAATATTTAGAGATTGAACACGTACAGATGATTTTATTGACTAAATTAGGGAGGTAGGGAATTTATCATAAATAATATTAAGAAAAAATATGAACTTCAGTTTGCATTGAGCCATAATTTATACGCTATTGCGTCGTAATTCATAACCCCATATATAAATCGTGAACAGCTTTATGTATTCTTTTCAGTCTAAACTTATTTTGCACTCCCGGTGTAGACTGCCTTTGCCAAAATAGAGCTAAAGAAACATGTCTTTGGTACAATGTAAAACACAAAAGAACATTAGTAAAATTGTTGTATCCAATGTATCCAAGAAAGGAAAACTTTGAAAGATCGTGGAGTCCCAAAAAGTCTACCATGCCGGAATAATGAGACGGTTCATATATGATGCGTATCAGAAGAATATTGTCTTAACAATTAAAACTTTACATGAAAAGTTGCTTAGTTTTTTAAACATTGAATGTCGCTAAGCGACTTTGCGTACGTTCGTACGAAGAATTGGTGTTAATTACAAAACCGTCAATAAGAGACAACTTTTTGTATGCACAAAGTACCGAAGTGCGGATCTGGAAAGTCATTGAGGAATGCCGAATTTATTTATTGAGGGTTACAAAGAGAAACCCAAGCGAGATAGCCCTGCGGTTAGACCTGCACAAAAATTTACTAAAGTTATGTATAATGTTGTAAACACGGTATATGGTTTGACGACCCTTAAAATATAAACGTTCCAGTTTGATTAATGGAGTCACCTTATTATAAGAGAACGGAAAACCGCCATTTTGTAATAAGCGAGTAATAATTTGTTTAAAACAAATACGCAATACATTAAATGTAAAGTGACTAAACTATTAATTTATAAACAAATGTGTATAAAATTTTAGTTAAATTGTAAGAAAACGTTGTGCTTTTTAAGACGCATAATTTTTCTTAGTGAATGTATAACAACTTAAATTTGTTTTTGTATATAAAATCTTGTAATTTTCTATTAACTTTAGAAACATCCATTTAAGTTTCTTTTTGAGTTTCCGACTAATGTCTATTCTGTAATGGGACAGCCTCGTTGGATAACTTTTGGATCTGTAAATAAATAAAGAAATTTAGTACAATAATGAATAATTCAGCGAAGGATGCCCTCTTTCAAAACTCAATTTCGAAAAAAAAAAAGCGAAGTATACCAATATTCATTTGAATTTGATAGAAGTAATCGCGAAAACAATTCATTTTTTCCTACCAGCATCCTGTATTCAGTTTCAGCTTATCCCAGCAAATGGAGGAACACAACTCTGAGGGTCTTCTACCGCATAGTGAAGCCGTTCGTTTTCGGAAACGGCAACGGTTTCGAAGAGTTATTGGTCAACGAAGTGGTGGCTCACCTCGGTATGAAACTAAACACGAGGATTGAATATCACACCTTCCAGGGTATTGTGACCGCAAACGGCACTTACCAGAACAAAGGTCTACGCATGCTTTCGAAAAAAAAGTGCGACTTGGTTATCGGCGCTTACCACGCCTACGCCCAACGGAATTTCGACGCCAGCGTCGTCTACGTCATCGACACGTATCACTACGTTTTTCCTAAATCGCAACTGAAATCGAACTGGGACAGGATATATGACATTTCTTCTCCCGAAGCGAAAATGGGGCTGGCGATTACGAGCGTCGTGTGGATCGCCTTCGTTCATCTTGCTTATGGAGAAAGCGTGGGGACTCTTTTCAAAATAACATTCCTAGTCGCCATTAACGTGGTGGTGCCGACAATTCCGACCAACAAACACAAGTTTAAGATCGCTTTGGGTTTTTGGATTTTAGGCAATTACGTGCTCAGTACACTCTTCACCACTCGCTTCCAGGCGATTTTTTGCAGTCAGCAATTCGCGAAACCCATGTATTCAGCGGAAGATCTAATCGAGTCCGATTTGGTGATTTTGGCATCTAACGATACCCTTGCTTCGTACGTCGGCAAACGCGCCACCGAAGATATGATGCTCTACGACCGAATGCAGCCTTGCATCAATAGAACAGAGTGCCTGCTCCGAGTGTGCAGAGATAGAGCTGCCGCCTTCTTAGCCAGCCAAGTCACTACCCTATTCTTGGCCTTCGAAAACTGCGTGGATTTTAATAGCGGAGAATTACTGATCGATCTCGGCGAAGATCTCTCTTGGGTATTCCTGCAAAGTTTTTTGCTCAGGGGATATCCAGCGTACGATGCCATAGACAAGACGGTGAAACGTTTGATGTTGTACGGCGGAGTAGCGGTTGCGGAATATAAATACCGCAGGGCGATATTTGAGGCGGAACTGGCCAAACGACAAAGGAAATTGCAAAGCGACGACTTGAGCGTGGAGGAAATGAGGTTCATCCTTTTGTTCTGGGCGGGCGGACTATGTGTCGCCACCTTGGTGTTTTTATTGGAGCTATATTTTTACAAATACTGCTTTAGTAATACGGTGAACTCGATCTAAAACTGGAATGGCAGCGGATGCAAAGTAAAGTCAAATTTACAATGGAAGAAGGCGGCTAATAGGGGGATTTTTGCTAGTTAAAAAACTTTAGAAACCAGAAAATCAAAAAGTCCATAATATGCAACAATGTATAATAGACGTAATAAAGAGTAATAAAATGTTGTTGGCCTACCAGATGTGAATGACATAATTTCTTTTGGATCCGCCACTACTTTATGTAATAAAAATACATTATCCTAGTTGCATTTATAGGCTTTACGCTTTACCTAATTTAAACCTTTGTCACATTTTGAATCCTATTAAAATCGATTAAATTAATATTTTGAGTATGGCAGCCATTTACTATTATTATTATTATTTAAACAAATTTGAAAACATTACTTGAACCCAGGCTTTACTATGGATTTCGATAGCATAACGAAATTTGTTACCGATAACAATGAATAAGTGTTTTTTTAACGCTGGATTTGATAAGGAGCACTAGATGAAGAAGATCCTCATTGATCAACTTTTTCCTACCATAAATAATACTTTTTTTTTGACGTGAAACAATTTTTATTAATTGGCAGCAATGTAGCCAAAGAGATTGAAGAACTGACAATCATTGATTATGAAAACGAGACTGCAGTGTCCAATATGGCAAACCTGTGCGAAGCCTGTGCAAGCTTGAAGGAGTTTGATTTGTCTGAACTACTATTAAAATGTGAATCGGAACAATCTTTCATCTTTAACCATTTTAAAAAGTAACAACTGTATTAATAAAACATTAATAAATTAAATGTAAATTAATAAAACAAGTTGACATATTACAATATAATATTTTATATTACGTACATGAAAAGTTCTTAGTTATGTATGTATATGTAATATTATGTGCATTTAGTTGAATTTGTGTTTAGTAAGTTGTAATTAAAATTTTTGAAAAAATTTCTGTTATCCTTTTAAGCGATCACCCCTTCTAAACGGTCAATATTTTATTCCCCAAGAGTGGTCGCTATTGAGGGATTCTGGTATATTTGATAATCAAACAATATTTTCCTTGAATATGTATAATAAATAATATTTATTTTTATTATATAAATCCTCCGAAAAAAGTACATGCCAATTAATAAACAGCTATTTTAAATAGTTAAGGCTTTTCTAACGTTTAACAAAATATTAGCCAGAAAATAGTACGTATTTCTTTAGGATTATTATTTAAAGAAGAACCCTAAAATACACACCTAGATATATACTTGCTTCCAGTTAACCAAGACTGTTTATTTCTAGAAGTAAATCAATACGTAAAGAATGCCAAAATACTGATTTTTTAATCTCTAAATAAATAAAAATAAAATAAATTACTTTATATTTACATATTTTTTTTACATAAAGGTGCAATATGCGACACAAGAATTACAAAAAAAAAAAAATTAATTAACATTAGCATGAAATTATTAGCAGCCATTTTAGATATACATATATTGCGTTACGTTTTTACAAAATAGCTCGAACACATCGACCGATTAATGTGTGAAGTAATCGGCAGAACTGTCAAACGTCAAAATTCCATGGAACGAAAACGTAAGGTAAGGTAAGGTCTTAAAGTGGCACTTTCCGGGTATTGGGTATTTAAATTAGGAAGCAGAAAAATATTTATGGTAATGTCAAGTTGGTTTAAACGTTTTTAGTTTCGAATAAACGCATGTGAATTTAATTTGGTTTTAAATTTAAAATTCGTTTTTTGTATGTATATTTTAATCAAAGTTTATTACATATATGATTCAATTTGAATATGGCGGTGGTTGCGTTATAATTACTTGAACGGAAATGTCATTGCCACAGACTCCCAAACTCGAAAGGTCCAAGCATAAAAATCTTGCGAAAAAACTTTACCTGATTTAAATCTTTTAACAACCATTAAAACAATTTCGACCGTCTCTAAAATGGGTTACGTTTGGTCGCAACTACATAATTTTGAAATTGTGCGCGTAGGTTTTTATGAGTTCATTGTCTGATACCCCAAATACGTTTAAAACGTTTTGATGACTTAAGGATACCGCACGGGTTGAGGTGTGGTCAAACTGGTAACGCGAAAGATCACTTGACTCGTTCCGGCGATTGTTGATCTGAAACATAATGCACGAAAAAATATAATTGGGTTAAGCTCCGATAATCGTATTCATAAAAATTCTCAATTATGAAATTGGGTCAGCTAACTACCACTTGCTAAAAAATGCAACCGATTCACCGTGTCACATTTTTAAAAACAAATTGTAATGTAAAGGTAGAATATTTTACGGCAATCTAAATTAACAAAGGGTGTTAGAATCGGACCTTCTTACTCTTCATTTCAACGCTTTACTATTATAAGTATATTTGTTAATATAATCCTAAGAATTTTAAGAAAACTTGTTGAAAATTGTAATTGTTTAATTGTTGATTTGATCGTTTCTTTAAGAGATGTTTTTAATTTATTAGGATTTTTAAGAAATGCTAAACATAATTAAAGAAAATAAAAATAAAAATAAAGGGAAAGCAAACAAATAAAAACAAAATGAAGAAAGAAATGTTAACCAAAAAATGTTTTGTTGGAAAGATATTTCCAGATTTATTTTGTCAAGGCAAGTTGTCCAGTGGGATGGGCTATGAAATTAATCGGTAAAAAGATAATACACTGACTATTTCCTTTCTTTAATTCTCTTAGTTTTTTGCAAAAAATGAAGCGAAGATTATAAATCTTTGTCGGAAACAAAGTACTCAAATTAATAGTGACAGTGCTTAAATGAAATTAATATCTGTCGTTCTGTATATGCATTTAATTACGGCCTTTTTTCTTCAATTCGCGCATATTCAAATTTATTACTATTATTTTTACTAAAATGTAAATTATGTTAAGTATAGAGACCAGCCAATATTTGGTTCATAAAAAGAATCAAAAAGCACAAATAGACAAAGATATGTTTATTAATTTATTAATTATTATTTTTTGTTTTGTTAGTTTCCTGTGTAAAGCTGAGCCTCAACAAGTGTAAACCAAATTTATTTTAATAATATAATATTGAAACTTTTTTTTTTAATTGCGAGAAAATCGCAAAATGTTTTTTATTTTCCTTTCCAAAAATTTGTAATTTTATTTTACTTCTTCCGTGCAATTGTAAATTTACAAATTGAAAAGGAAACTTGGGTAAATTTATTGAGAGCCACAAATCATCATCAGCAATCTGTTCTTATATTTGAGTGAATAAAGACTCTTCCTTGTGTTAAAAATCCATGTTAAAAGATTGAAAAGAGCTATTTAGTTCTCCAGAACTTCTCAGCGTGAAATAATAATGGCAATACATCCAGGTATTTTTTTTCTGACTTACGCAAATTTCTGCCATTATAATTGGTAAAGATAAACCCGCGAATAACGTTAGAATAACGTATATACGAATGACGGATAACGCGCATACCGAACAACAGGAAGCTTGCAAACCTAGACCTTCGTAGCGCAGTAGCGAAAGTGGTCCAAATCGTTCATACGATTATGATTCCAAACGGGTATAAAAACGCACAAATTTTTACGAACCGCATCAGTTTCGTAGAAACATTTTCACCAAAAGCAACAATGGCCCTCAAAGTAAGTGCATTTTGTTTATATGTTGTAGAAAAGGAATTGGTATTGCATTACGAATAAATTTTGCCTGGTATATAAATATATATTTTTCTCAGTTCGTCATCCTCGTCGCCACTTTGGCATACGCCAACGCCGGACTCTTGGGAGCTCCCGCAGTGGCCACCTATTCGGCAGGACCGATCGTGTCCTCGTACTCAGCCCCATTGGTAACCAAATCGATCGCCCCGGTAGTGTCAGCTTACGCCGCCCCCGCAGCACCCGTAGTTGCCGCATACTCAGCCCCAGCTCTATCGAAATCGGTAGTCTCCACCTACACCACACACTCAGCTCCACTTGTCGCTAAAGCCGTTGCTCCAGTAGCGACCTATGCTGCTGCTGCTCCAGTCGTATCTGCCTATTCCGCCGGTCCAGTTGTATCTTCTTATTCAGCTCCATTGGTAGCTAAATCTGTGGCTCCAGTTGCATACGGCGCCGCTCCAGTAGCATACGGCCCCGCTCCAGTAGCATACAGCGCTGCTCCAGTAGCATACGGTGCGGCTCCTTTGGCTTACTCTGCCGGTCCAGTGGTTTCCAGTTACGGTGCTCCAGTCGTAGCCAAGAGCGTTGCTCCCGCGTTGGCCTACAGCGCTCCAGTGGCCGCCTGGTAAATGAAAAACCCTAAACCGGTGTCAACGATATTGTAAATACGCCTTTATTTATTCATTAAATAAATGAGAAGTTTGTAACACATGTATATCACAATTATCATCCCTTTTATCCCACGTTAGTGTCGATATTGCGAGTTGTATGTAGAAGAAATGACAAAAGCACAGCCCGTATTATTCAATAAAATAAAACAATCGAAGATACGTGAAAGAATGTGAGCTTTTAAAAGGGTTGTTTTTAATTTTTTTCCAAAATTATTCCTTCTATCTAAACGGATATAACAAATAATGGCCAACCAGATTTCTTCCGAGAAAAATGAGTCTGTATGTAAGTTGCAGAGTACCCAGTGACGAACCAAAACCAGCCTTTAATGTGTTTAATCGAGTCAGAAACAAGTTAAGTTAAGAAATTAATGGAGAGATGAAGAATGGGCGCATAAGAAGCATTGCCTAATTATTCTTCGCTCCCAGAAAAAGTCGATTTAAGAAACCATTTTTTTAGAGATTTAAAAATTTAAGTTCTCTAATATTCGATGTGTCTAACTTTGAATTAATTTCTTGTAAAATTATTACTTTAAAAGCCAAATCGTTTTCAATGACGTTTAAGATTTTTTTAGATGCACTTTACCAAATAAATATTATTTTTTCCGAAAACAAGTGTGTAAGCAAGCAAGCAAATATAAAATAAAAAACTTTGAAAACAAAAATATTTGAACGATTAATTGGATTTTAAATAGTTATATACTATTATAAGATTATAAGATCGCCGTAGCAATAAAGTTCAAAGTGGTTAGTTTTGGTTGGTTAAATGTACAATTATTTTTTTATAATCGGTAAAACGTAAAAAACGAATATATTAATAATTTTATTCAAAAACAAAGTATCTGTCTTATAAGCCTTGTACGCATATGTAATCGTTGATTTTTGTCAGCTTTTACCGGTTTTATGTTAATATTTATATAAATTAATAATAAAGTTTAAACCGTTTTTTATTTTAAACAAAAATCCCTGAAAAGATATCCATCGGCATTGCGCCCAAGGTGTACACAATTTATCATCATCTAATCGAAACAGCTATTATACGCTAGTTAGGAACTTGATGAGCATTTATACCTAATATTCTACTGCCTACGGGCCACCTCTAGTTCTATTGAAACGCCACACGCTCAATTAATAAAATGCCCACCATGTTTCGCAAATAATGTCCCGGCCGATGTTAACACGAAAAAAATTGATGCTATAAATTATATGTTGCAATCGTCGAATATTTTATCGAGCTTATTCGTTCGGCTTGTCAGACAACATCGTTTATATTCTATCGAATTATATAGACGATCAAGTGCCGACCACGCCCAGTCATGGCCTACGGTAATTTTAGATATGTGAACCAAATCTTGGCATCCTTGCGAGTGAACGCGCCGCGTCCTCGTCGTCTGTCAATAATGATTCCCTGATAAATGGCTTGAGATGAAGTAAAATATAAATATATTAACTATATATAATAATGTAGACCACAGAAAATGAAGACAACAAGGCTCTTTAAGCCCGGCAGACAGGATGTAATTTCTTATTTCACTACTACTACTTAATACCCAATTATCAGATAAAAATTGTTAGAAATACATGTATGAACTACATAAATGAAGACAGAAAGGTTCCTACTACCTGTCAATACTTTACGACAAAAATCGTGGATGTATATAATATAAGGAAAATCCGTAATCGCAAAACTAAAAACTAGAGAAATGTTTAATGATTAAAGTTTATTATCTCATTGGTTTCAAAAGTTATGAGAACATGGTATATACAAAATTGTAAAGATTGTTAGGATGCACAAATGAAAATTATTTTTAAGTAAACAGGGTAGCTCACAACAGCTTGATAAATAAAACATACATTTTTCTAATGGAAAACCTTATTTTTAAATTGGGTTTTGAATTCTTCAACTCTATTTATTAATAAATAATACATACCTAAAAATAAAAGTTTTCCAATATTTAAATAAAAAAAAATATATTAATTTTCACATTTGCAAAAAAATTATGATAGCTCCATTATTTTTATTCACTATATAAACACTATATAAACATGGAACATTTTGAATGAACTTTCATTAAGTGTGTCATATATTTTGTCTAAGAATATTGCTATAACATTAGTTGGCCATGACAACTGAATAAATAAATTAATAAAATTTATTGTGGTGTGACATATTAGGCCATCCGTACAAGAACTGATACTCATAGTCATTTCGAGTTAATTGGAAATTAAGAAAACGTTTTTTATTAATTAGGTTCTTTAAAGCAACTAAAATAAAATAAATGACCTGTTTACGTCTCCTGCGCAAAATGCCTAGTGCAAAAATGGACCAACCCGCTTTAGTCCATTCGTGCTTTGAAGAATTGAGGACAATTTTTAAATTCAATAATTTGTGGTTTGGTCCGTTATTGCACTAAATGCCTCATATATACTGGGTGAGGTGGAAAAATATTTTGTTGACCGTAAGAATTTACTCCTAGACAATCTCTTCAGTGTTTAATTGAATGGTTTGATGCTAATGGTGGTATTGAATATGAAAAACGGAAAGCGGTAAACGGGAATGCTACCAATGAGGTAAAAGAATTGGAAATTTCACTTTAAGCTTTAGGTGATCCGCAGGTTAGTAATTGTCAAGTAGGTAGCTTATGTGATACATCCTAATCTACCGTTAATCTCACCACTAGAAAACAAAAATATCATCCCTCCTTTCTGGAACTCCAGCAAGAACTTTTAGACCGTGATTTTGAACAAAGGGTAAACTTCTACCATGAAATGAATGAAGCAATAGCAATGAAGCGATAGAGGCCGATCCAAATTTAAGTTAACCGTCATAACATGCATTCAGTGTACGAGAAGTGCAAAACCAAAACCATTGGTCACTTAATGTCATTGTAAAGTTATTGGATCAGATTGGATTCTTCAAGAAGTTGATAACGTTGAGGTCCAACAAATGTAGTTTCAGCAAGATAGAGCTCCTCCGTATTACCATCGAGAAGTTCGCGGACTTTTAAATAATCATTACCTACAAAAATGGATCGGTAGAGGTGGATTAATGGAATGGCCCCTTCGATCATGTGACTTATCACCCCTAGATTCCTTTTTGTGGGGATATGTTAAAGATCGTGTTGATGTGAATCATAATAATAATTAAAAATAAGACTGTTTGTTGGCTAACAGTTTTGTCATGGCCAAATAATATTATAGCAATAGTCTCAGACAGAAAGAAAGGTAAATAAATCGCAAAGTATTAAAAATATTTATACTTAATACAAGTTGCAGATTTTTGTAAAATCTTTGAGAACGAATAATACATATGGTGTGGCCTTTAAAAAAATCGAGATTTTTCAGCTTAAAACGATAGAAATAAATTCGTTTTTTTTTTAAATAGCATCTAATTCAAAATCGTCATCTTCGAAGAACGCTAATATCAAATACAAATATTTTTTTTGCAAGTGCGAGTAATCTTTTTTAGAAAAATTAAACTATTGGTTGGGTAGGTTTTAAATTGTGCATTCTAACAACCTCTGAAATTTTTATGAGATATTCAACTTTACTCTATCCTTGACTCACCCTGTACAATTTTTATAATGATCGTTTTTATTTTTTCTGGATAAATTTACATAGCTACGCATTTCTTTAAGCGCACTGTTTATTAGCATTTTTTATAAACATATTAGGAGGAGGCCTAAGCGAAGTGCATATTACTCCTTTCTATTCCGGGTTCCTATTCCATTTTTTCTGGAATCATTGGAATTTTTTTTATGATCTTATAAATACGTATTTACACTTTCAACCGCCATTTTTCTACTCTTTGCGCCGACTTTTCATACACACATTCTAATTTATTTTGAAAATAATTTAAAAAGTGAGAACCAAAATTAAGGACAAGTGCTGCTTAGAAACTTCCGAACAATTGGATATCAATATCTACTAAAACTTTCAGTCAATTAACTAACCAAAACTATGTTTTCTCGAGGTTCCAAAACGACCCTTAACTTTGAACCCTGAACTCTTGATGGATGTATAAGATATCAACTAGAGAATCAAGTTTTGTTCTTACACTGATTATATTTTCGGAACGATAGACTTAATGTTTATGAGGCTTAAAATTTTTTAATTTTTTTTTAAGGTAATAATAAATTTTGTTAGCCAAAACAAACATTTTTTAAAGACCAAAATAATATGCAGCTATTCTGACTTGGATTGATTGATATCGATTTTCATTATACAAATTCAGAATTGGCTATGAATTTAATTGTTTTTTCGCACTGCAGTTATTGATGAAGAATGGAAACAATATATTTCCTTCTCGTTAATATATGGTTATACAACAGTTTGATATTGAAAGAGAGTAACCAAGGTGCCTGGTCCAAAATATACTTAGGCGCACTAGATAATCTTGCACGCTCTGTAAGACAGAGAGAAATAGACCAATCCGTATCAACATATAACGAAATAAAATTTAAAACAAACGGAAAATCTACGTATATATATAAACGTCGAAACTGGTCTACTGGGCGACCACGCGAACGAAGTCCATACACGGTTATGTCATCATTAGCATCGGGTAAAAGTACCTACTCGCTGGTCGAAACAATGGCCGATGCGTTATTTAACGGGTCCGCCCTAACCCAGACCTTCACCCAGAAAACGAAAGTGGTTCACTTGTGAAGCCACTTATGCAATTTCATCTCGATTCAGCATCCAAATCGAACCGGTATAAAAATGACCGGATTATCGAACACCGGCATCAGTCAACCACAAGCCCTAGTACAAATATACAACAATGGCGTTTAAAGTAAGTACATGCATAGCATAAGTCTTTTTTTGGAATTCTTAATGAGGTAACTAATGCTTATTACGAAATATTTACTTCTAGTAAATTCGATTACACAAATATTTTAATATAAAGTGACTTTTTGAGTGTCGTATTTTATCTGAATTTGCTCTTTCAATTTGAAAGTTTGGAGAAATGGCGCTCACGGTATTCCAAAGTTTTTGTGGGCATTTTATTAAGTACGTAAAATAGTAAGATTTTTAGTAAATATATATCATGTAACTTGAAACACGCCATTTTATTCATTACCTACTACATTAGTCTGACATAGTTAATAGAATGTATTATTATTATTAGCATGTTCAGCTAAATTCATAATGTATCTTTAGTAAATTTAATAGTAATATTCAATTTTAATTTAAATAAAAATGAAATTGAAAAAAAACATGTTTTCGAATGTAATTATGGAAAATTTATAAATGTTTCAGTCTCATTTAGCAATGACGGCGTAAGAAAACAAAAAAATAATTATAACCAGATTTATGTACATATGTTTTGACAAACTAAATAGGATTTATTTGCATAAATATTCGGAATTAGAACAGATAATTTGGCCGGTATATTAAATCTGTATTACTAGTAATTTAAAAATTTGCGCAAGGAACACAGAGAAGTTAGTTAAAAAAGTTTACAGGGCAAACAATGGCAAATCAAATTTGTTATTTATTATTTATTATTTTCTAGCTCCTTGTCCTCGCTGTTACGCTCACGTACGCCAGCGCTGGTCTAATCGGTGCCCCAGCCGCCGTTGCCACCTACTCCTCAGCTCCGGCAGTTAGCAGTTCCTACTTCCACCAAGCATCTGCTCCCGTGGCAGTCGCTCACGCGGCCCCAGTGGGCTACGCTGCTCAGCACGCTCCAATTGCATATGCTGCTCAACACGCTCCAGTCGCCTATGCTGCTCAGCACGCTCCAGTAGCATACGCCGCTCAAGCCATCCATGCTCCCTCGGTCGGAGTAACGCAAGAAAGTGTAGCACGTTCCCTTGGAGGCGCCCAGTCTGTCTCCACTTTCTCTAAAGCGGTCGACAGCGCCTTCTCCAGTGTTCGTAAATTCGACACCAGAGTGACCAACGATGCCTTGGCTTTGGCTCCAGCCCAAGTTGCCTATTCCTCACCTTTGATCACAAAGGCGTACGCCCAGCCAGCTCCCCAATTGGCTTATGCTGCTCACGCTGCTCCAATCACATACTCCTCTCCAGTTGTAGCCAAAACTTACGCCGCAGGTCCTCTTGTTTCGAGCTACGCTGCCCCTTTGGTAGCCAAGGCTCCAATTGCCGCATACGCAGCTCAGGCTCCGCAACTGGCATACGCTGCTCATTCCGCTCCAGTCGCGTATTCATCGCCAGTGATCGCTAAGACTTATGCCGCAGCTCCAGTCGCATATTCCGCTCCCGTAGTAGCGAAATCTTACGGCGCTCCAGTAGCCGCTTACGCAGCTCAAGCTCCAGTTTTGACCAAAACTGCCGTAGCTTACTCTCCAGCTTCCGTTGTGGCCCACACAACGTTCCAGGGACTGGGCGTTGAATACCACTATTAAACGATCACATCAGACTGCCATTTTTGTACATAGGATTTAGTGCGTGTTTTGTATTTAATTTAATAAATTGTTTTTATTGGATAATTCGTTGCTTTAATTTAATTTTTTTCAATGTCGACAAATTTTGAGCAAGGACCGCCATCGCATTGGCATGCCTTAATTTTGAAAATATCACTTCAAATACTAGTCATTAAAACATGAAATTTTGTTTCGTTAAAATTCGTTTGTTTTGAAATTTCGACATTTCGAATAACAATTTTGAATATAGCTAAAAACAAGCTAAAGTAAAAAATAAGCAAAAACAAACTCTGAAGGATACCCTCCCGGATATAGAAAAAAAAAACACTTGTTGGAACTCAATCTCAATCAACTCAATAATAATTAGAAGAGACATTTTTAAAAGCAGATAACAGAGAAAAATTTCATACTAAAATAATTAACAACTTCTTCATTATATATATATATATATATATATATATATATATATATATATATATATATATATATATATATATATATAAATGCAGTGTATATAGTGTATATGGTTTATAAAATATTTTTCCAATATTCTTACAATCTCTAGACGTTGATGAACGCGGACGAAGCTCTATTCTATTGAAAATTTGCTTGCTTCATAAATAGTCCACTCAGCTCAATTTGAACTAGTATAATTTCTTTCAGAACCATGAAAATTCCATTTCTAAAGTCAATCTTTATTAAAAAAATATAAAATTTAACTTTTAAAATTGTTGAATTATAAAACAAAAAGAATATCAACCATACGGCACAAATTTAATAAAAAAAAACTAAAAAAATTGCTAAATGCATTTTGTCACCAATCCTATTCAATATCTACGTAGAAAAGAGTTTTCAATTGACTCTGGAAGGAGATAATAGAGGAATCAAAATCAATGGAACTCCAATTGACAATATTCGGTATACGGACGATACAACTATATTGGCAAATTTTCCTGAGGACCTTCAACATACTCGGGACAGGCTTAACCAAATAACTAAAAAGTTTGGGCTCAAAATAAACACGTCCAAAACAAAAGTCATGGCACTAACCCGCCAACATTTTAACGTGGCTGTGAGGATTGACGATCAAGATCTGGATCAGATGTCGCGTTTTGTGTACCTGGGTGCCAGCCTCAACCCAAAAATAGGACTGCGATGAAGAGTAAGGATACGCATAGGGCAGGCGAAGAACATATTTTTTAAACTGAAGAACTTCCTTCTTGCACGTTTTCTTTCACTGGCACTTTGTCTACGAGTAATAAAGTGCTACGTGTGGCCTACATTGCTACATGCAGCAATGGCATGGTCCCTAAAAATACGGATACTAAACCGTATAGAAGCATTTGCGTATTCCCGCACACACACAACTAACGAAGAATTCCTGAGAATGGTCGGTGTGCACAGAGGGCTTCTAGACATCGTAAAAAACCTACCTACCTTGGGCACATTCTTAGAGGTGCCAAGTACTCAATCCTTAAACTAATTTTGCAAGGCAAGGTAGGTGGTCGGCGAGGTCCGCTAGTGCGGAATACTTTTCGCAAGCTGAGAACAGCGCACTATATAGAGAATATTTTTGACGAAATATTTTTGAAAATCCAAACTGAAATGAAAATAAAAAAAATAAACCGCCGAGATATAATTAAATAGAACAAATGAAAATAGATCAAAAACATCGTTTAAACCTAATCCAAAACCCTAAAATTTTAATGGCTATCTTCAACGATTTTAAAGTTATTGAAGACATTATCCATTTCTTGTACTATTCGGTATATAGAAACAAGTGCTAGTATTAGTACTATTCATAGAAAGTACTATTTATGGAAAGAAAAGTAGTAAAAGAAGAATATAATAGAGAAAAAATGGTTGAATTTTTTTTCTTATACGAATTATTTTTCCAATTATTTAGACTGAAGACTATGACGAAATGTCCAAATGAATAAGTGGTAGCTCCAGTAAACTTGAAAAGTATTTAAATAAAATCCATTTTCCTAACCTTATTATTCTCGAAAATATTATATAACGCAGAATGAAATCTGGGGGCCGTTTTTTCGAAATAATTATATTATTTTAATTAAGTCATGCTTTAATTATTGTCGTAAATTGCACGAAAGCAGTAGTGAATGCCGAATTTTTAAGTCAACAAAATACTACGCAACGTACCATGCCGTTTAATTGCCCATGTGGATCGGTTACGGCAACCTCGTAGGAACGTATGAAATGCCATCTTGATAAGTCAGTTTGTGTCTGTTTGCATTTTCTGTACATATTTTATAATACGCCTTAACATTGGAATCGTACTACTGTCATCACCTTGTGTTCCAGTTCATTAGAAAAAATGCTATCAAGGATAGACTATACCATCGAAAGAAAAGTAGTACGTAACTGCATTTCAATCATTTTTATAAATAATAAATATTAGCTTATTGCTACAAAGATAGTAAATTAATAATAACAGCAAGATAAATAATAATAATAATAAACATTTTTATTGATTTAACCATTAATAGCAACAAATTTGCAAAATAATGTCCCAAATTAAATTCGCCAGCAAATGGCTACAAAATCAGACATTTGACACAGTCAGGTACTGATATAGCCCAAAATTTAACATAAAATAAACAGACACATAAAAACAGAAAACGGTTCAAGTGGGAGTGGCAAGGAATTAAGGACAAGGAAATATGTAAGTAAAGGATTTGATTAGGTAGAAACGAAAATAAAATGGTATTTATCGATTGAATATATTCAACCAGCTTCAGCTAACTAGATATGGTGAAACATGGGTTCTACCGGAAACTCCATATATCAGTCGAAGACAGCAGTTTTGAATTTTTTGAATACGATACCTCTCTATACTATGTAGACAAGAATAAATGAATATCCTGTTAATATGATTAAACTGTGATAGCACCAGAGTATTGTAAAGAAGTCTCTTAGTATCCTGTGAGAGACAATGACGGCTTTCATAATTAATTTTAGAATAATATATGCAATCTTTAATTAGCTTGTAACGTGCTTTCTAAATTTTAGAAGAGAAGTCCCAAACTTTCGCAACTGCTACAAAAAGGCACAATTTGATTTCTATTTCCAAATATATTCAAATGAGAATTAATGCTACAAAACTACAGTTGAGTGTTATCGGCATAAATATGATAATCACAAAACTGTTTGTATCTTTTTATGTACAAATCGCAAACAAAAGCGGGATACTCCTTTGTTAATAGCCAAAGGCGTAGAGGTGGATTCTATGCGAATTTACAACACACTTCACTGAATGTTATGTGAAGAATTGAGGATTTAATGATTTGTCATGTCAAAGGCTTTGCTAAAATCAAGTAAAACCAAGGCAATTGTTATCACCGTAAGCCCACAAAATGTCGTTTATTACATCTGCAAGACAGTTTTCACAACTATAACCAGATCTAAAACCAGATTATTTTGGGGGACAAAATACTGTAAATATTGAGAAATGTAATTCATTAATTAGGTAATGAAAATACAAACAATATGAGCTATGGAAAATTTTGAGTCTTTTCTTATAAATCACTAACTTGGCCATATTTTATATTGTAGAGCAGAACCTCTGCTTTACTTACATACTTACTTATTGATTTTGTTCGTATTGTGATCTACAATTTATTCCCCCTAAGAGTATTGTAAAACAACAATTTTCATTTTACATCCACAAAATGAAAACCACAATTGTTTCTTAGCTTTCTCATACTGCTAATTGTTTTCTTTTCTGTTGACTAATTTCCTTTTTTAAGTATCTTAATATACGGGGGTGGTTTAAAAAAATTCTTCCAAAGACTCTTGAGTATCTCAATAAAATAAATATATGCGTTTCTGAATCTTAGTTTAAGTTATAAACCACCTAAAAACATATTTTTTGAAAATTGCTCTGCGTCCTATTTGAGATCACTTTCTTTTGATAAGTCGTCGAGTAATGGGTAATTGTATATTTATTTATTTTACTTTTTGTGGCCAGCGCTCAATTTGCATTAAATTTCCCACTCCAACAAAAACGGAAGAGAATTGTTAAGAATAATAATTAAACTGCATAGCAATTTAGAGAATAAAACAAGTACAGTACAGTAACAACTAGATCAGGTTAGAAAGTTAAAGACAGAATAATGACGCTAGTAACACCACTGCGTTATTTAAGAAATTCAAGACTATACGAACAATGGTATTTTCTGCTTCTAATTATTATACAATACATGAATTGGATAGTAAAAACTATGAGCTGCTCTACTTGCTCTGGCGGGTATGTAAAAGTTAATGTGAAAAATGAAATTGATAAAAAACGTCACGAGTATTTTATTTTTTATTTTTTTTACATTAAATAAATATTTTCGTTAACTGTAATGTCGAATCTTGACTTTTATGTTGTATACCATTCTACCAGACGGATGATCCATAAGCCACTGGAGCTACGGACTTGGCGAAAACTGGAGCCGAGTACGAGGAAACCAATGGTGACGCAGAATAAGTCACGGGTGCCTCGGAATAAGCGACCACTGGAGCCGGATGGGAAGAATATGCCGACACGATCGGATTTGGAGCTGCGTAGGCAGTAAGCGCAGCGTTAGAAAATTCCGGCGCAGAATAAACCGAAAAGCCTGGAGAAGCCGGTGCTGCGTAAGCGGATATAACTGGAGAGGGGATCGCTCCAGGTGTCCCGATGAGTCCAGCGTTGGCGTATGCGAGGACGGAAGCGACAAGCACGATCAACTACGAAATTGTTTCGAAATTTCGAAATTAAACCCCTTGATGGTGGTAGTCCAAGGGAGAGGGTTTCTCCACAAAACCGACCGGTTTCGATGATATAGAGAAATTATTAACATGGAGGCTACTAAAATTTAGGGTATTGAATCTGCTTGACTTAAGGGTAAATTACTCATATTACGCGTGGCGAAGTAAAAAAATACTAGTAGAAGAAATTAACCATAAAATAGAATATGTTCAATAAAATTGAACATATTCTAGACTTGTTTATATTTTTAATATCTTTTTTTTTACTTTTCAATAATTGAAATAGAAACATTTAATAGAGGTTAATGCAGTAAACGAAGTTTTACCAACCCCGATAATGACAATTTCTCAATATAATCGAAATATCTTGGTAGTTTCAGCGCTGATAAATATAACATTTTGTGGAAAAACGTCCCCGTTAGTGTTCAAAATTGGTTTGGCCTGTTAAAGCCTTTAATTAGTTATCAACAACTTACAGTAAGGTTCATTGCGACAAATATTGCGACGACTCGTAGCTGTAAATGGGAACTGATAAAAATTGGTACTTTTTGTCTGGTTTTTATAGACGCAATTAATATCTAAGTTGTTCGCTTCCCGTGTTACAGATACATGGATTATAAAGTCCAAATGCCAAATACCGGTAGGATTCGAATCTTGTCGCTGGCAGTTTCGACATCACAGGTTGATATTCAAACGAGGCGATCTAGTTAAATTTTTGCGAAATTTTTTAGAAAAGTAGGTGTGCCGCTTAGTATTTTGTCCGAGATGATAATCACGATACCAAATTTCTTTGGGAACGAAAGGAATGTATGTGTTACCACTAATATTCGAAAACCGTTAGTATATTAGGAATTATGTAAAATTGCTGAAACTCTTAGTGATTTTGCATAATGAGAACATTAGGAATTATGCACAAATACTAAAATCGTCAGATATTATGCATAATATTTGGGATAATCCGTGAATATCGATAATATCTAAAAATTTAACAGGAATTATCCACCACACCTCTTAAGGCCGTACATCGTTGTAAAATCTTTTATTAAGGTTTGATTTTGATATTTTTCTTGTTGTTGGACAGATCTCTCAGAAACGCATTAAAACCTTAAGTTTCTTATTACATCATGGCTAACTAATTTTTGATATCAAATGTCGAGAAGGGCTATTAGGGATTTCTTTAAAATTAAAGTGGCAACGAATTCTTATTCATGACTACATAAAAGCTAACTGTACTAATTTCCATGAAGTTCGAATACATGGTGCATAACAACTAAATTTTCAGGTATTACTCATAATTCCTGTAAAATTTGTACTTATTATCAGTTTTACATAATAACAATTTTCAGAAATTAAGCATAATTCCGAAAATTCTTGGTTATATGCAAAATCACTAACAGTTTCAGTAATTACACATAACTCCTGAAATGCTCAGTTGTTATGCAAAAAAGATATCGGTGGTAACTTATATACCTAATGTCACAAACGGAATCGGCTGTACTATGCCGAAAAGGTGACCATTGTAGCCCATAACTTTCGTTCTTAATTTGACACAGGAGTGGTTTCTTAAGAAACCCGAGAATTAATATTTCTCTAGATTCGTACATAATTTTTACGGCATCTAACCACATCCTGCTATAATTTTGCGATTTATTAGAAATTTAAATCTATTGGGTTGAAGGTTGAGCGAATGTTTAATAAACGAATGTCTGGAGACATTTATAAACGTTGCTTACGGAATTTTTCTACTTTTATTAGCTTTTCGGCACATTTTTGTAAAACAGGAGCAATATATTTAGTGAGTGAAGTTTAGAGTCACCATCAGAACTGACATACATCAAAATACCATTAGTGTTTGAAATCTATCGATTTCTTCGCTAAAATACCAAAACGCCCGAAATTTTTATTATTTTTTAAATTTTTTATATAGGCAAATTAATTTTATATATGCCAAAAAGCCACTACCTTTTCTGAAAATAATAAAACTATTGAATTTCCATTTTTTTATATGCTCGTTTTTTTTTTAATTATAACCCCCCAATTTTTATTTAACTTGTATAATGAAACATTTGCTTAAAAAACACTTTGGTAACATTTCATCTCCAATTTTCAACAACTGGTTAGTTTTATTTTTATAATTGTTTTGCTTAGTTTATTCCTATTTCCTTATATTTCACAGAGAGCATTATACTGCCATGTGGCATATTTTAAATCAAAATTGATAATTTGAATTTAGTTAGCATTAAATTACTTGCAAAAATGTATTACGAAAAGTGACATTCAAAAAATAACCAAATATTTTGGCTTGTAATACATTTTCGTCTCAAAATAGAGAATTGGTTACTTTTATTTTACTAAGTTAGAAAACATGGTTTTGAGGAAATTTTTAAAAATGCAAGTTTTTCAATGCGGAATACATTTTTTTTTAAGTTTCTATTATTCTGGAAACATTTATTGTTAGTTAATTAAAAAATTAAATTTCAAAATATCTTCAGCCGTTGGCAAACATTGTTTCATTCAGTTCTTTAGAGTAATGGAGTGAAGACAATAATCTAAAGATTTCCCAAATTTTCGGTGGAGGATTTATTAAACAATAGAAATCTGAAACGCTTTTTAGTAATAGTTTTTCATACCATCATGGGCATCAGGGCATGCTGGGCAACAAAAAAAAATGTTTTTCTAGGTTATAAAAATAATAAATAATAATTAAACTTGTTTCTAATAAGTATGACATTTATTCAACTCAAATAAATAAGTAGCAAGCGTTTACATTATCACAGTTCACCAGGCTGGAGCGCCGTACGCCAATGGGGCCACCGATTTCGCCACTACTGGAGCTGAGTACGAAGAAATCACTGGGGCGGAGTACGATGAAACGACTGGACCTGCAGAGTAAGCCACTGGAGCGGCCGAGTATGCGATAGGGGCTACTGACTTAGCCAACACCGGAGCCGAATAAGAAGAGAAAACTGGAGCGGAATGGGCGGCATATGCAGCCACAGGTGCAGCGTAGGCGGCTTTGGAAATGATAGGTGCGGAATACGCCTCTAGAGCTGGAGCTGAGTAAGCGGAAAACGCTGGAGCTGCATACGCTGCCTTCGAAACTATTGGAGCTGAGTAAGCCGAGTAAGCAGCTACCGGAGCAACGGACTTTGCATAAACCGGGGCTGAATAAGCGGACACTACTGGAGCGGAGTGAGTGGTGTAAGTCGAGACGACGGATTTTGAGATCGCTGGAGCCGAGTATGTGGAAATCACTGGAGCGTTGGCGGCGTAGGTGGAGATCACTGGAGCGACGGATTTGGTCAGCAACGGAGCTGAGTAGGCCACTGGAGCTGGCGCGTAGGAAGCTATGGCGGGCGATTCGATGAAGCCGGCATTGGCATAGGCCAAAGCAGCGGCGAAGATTACGAACTGAAAATAAAAATATTTGTTAAAAGTTAGGGATCCAAATTGTCGGTAATAAATATAAAATATTACGCGGTTATCTTACCTTAGCTGCCATTGTTGTTTATGGTCTACTCAGGTGCAAAATCGAACTGATGATAATTTCACGGAATTCGGTGGTTTTTATACCCCGTGCTGGTATGGTCGCTTCTGATTTTGTTTAAATCAACTTTCGCTATTAAAGATTGTGAAGGTCTAGGTTCGCGCGCGGTTTCCTGCGAGTCGTTACGATGATTATTGGGCAACTCGATTTTAAACTGGATCGCTCGAATGTCACGAATTTAGTAGGACGTCATTTAATGATGGCGCAAGGTCTATACGTTTGCTTATCACTGAGGCGAAGAATATAGAGTTAATTAGCGCAAGGCAGATGCAATTGAGGCTTATTACATGTCCCACCGACGATTATTGCCAATAAGAAAGCTGGGATTTTTTAATCAGCGGAATAAAAATAGCAACCCATTTTTAAAATATACGTTTTATTTAATTTTTAATTACTGATGTCGCAGAAGTTCATTGTTAAGTCGAATACTAATAATAATAGTTTTGTCTTCACTTCGTAATTTGTGTTGCTCTGATATATTTTGAAATTAAAAGGTTGGTTTGCCCTGATTTGTCTTTCTTACAAGCACGGTCCAATTTTACCTTACTGTTTAAGTAATGTATGCTGGAATCCATTTTTAAGCAATAGCTTTTTTTAGCAAGCTTTTATAGGGAGGGCCCACCTCAAAAATAAATTTGTGCATTTTTAGCCCTTTGCGTAATATCAAAAAAATTTCCATATTATTACAACCGAATCATAATTAATTTATTGAAAGTGTTACTTTTAGGATAATTCTATGGATTCAGCCTAAAGTCAGAGCTTTCGAAAATCTTATAAATACCAATCACAAATTTTTTAATCAATAGAAATAAAATAATCAGTAACTTTTTTTTATATATTATTATTTTATATATTATTTAACGTGTTGTTTTTTATAGTAATGAAGTTTCACATATTCCATGATCGAAATATTTGTTGTTTATTCGGAGCACTCAATAAAGAAGTTTTTAGAAAAAAGAAAATTCCAAAAAGCCTTTCCATCTTTTGGAGTTTCTAATCAACGGACATCAAAAACAAGCTGTTGCAATGCTTAGGTCTAGCAGCGTGAATAACGACGGTAAGATGCACACCGTCAATATGTATTAGAAATATTAATTTAACCCATTTCAAATAAAGTAAGTTACTACTTTCGACCAACTGATGAAGTTCCTAGCAAGCGCAAAGAAAATTTAATTTTGATCTACATATCTGGTTAGATTCTTTTGAAATATTTATAGAAGCACAATTCCAGGAAAAAAGCGGCCGTTGCCACACACAAGCCTCCCGACCAAAAGAACAGAATAAACCTCATCTCGATCACGCTCAGTTCTCCGCTGCGCATGTTTTTTTTGCTCTTCGCTAGAGCGATCTCGAATTTTTTCTTTCCATTTCTCTCCGATCTGGCTTTGAGGCCACCGTTTAGCCACAATTTTTTTATCGTTCTATCTATCGCGTCGTAAGCTGGGTAACCTTTCGAAAAGAACATCTGCTGAAAAAACCAATACAAATCTTCCCCCATATCGATCATGAGTTCTCCGTTGTCGGAATCTAGACAATTGTCAAAGGCTAGGAAAAGTACGCTTATCCTGTCTGCCAAATAAGCAGCTACTCTGTCCTTGCATACTTTGAGTATACAATTTGTTCTATTGGTACAAGTCTGCATCCTGTCATATATTTGTAAATCATCCTTGGCGCCTTTTTCGATATACAAACTAAGGGTGTAATGAGGGCCCAAGATCTCCAAGTCCGATTCCATTAAGTCCTCGATGGAATACATGGCCTTGGTGTGTTTTTGGCTGTAAAATATTGCCTGAAAAAATGCTGTGAAAACGGTGCTTAGCACATAAGTGCCCAAAATCCAAAAGCCTAAAACTATCCTAAATTTGTATCTACTAGTCGGGATGGTGGGAACCACTACGTTGATAGTCACGAGAAAAGCGATTTCGATGAGATTAGCTATGCTTTCGCCATAAGCGAAATGAACAAAACCGATCCAGAATATGGTCGTAAGGATGAAGGCAATTTTCTCGTTCCTAGGCGCAATTTCAAATATTCTTTCCCAGTTCGTCTTCAATGGCGACTTCGGAAACACGTAATGGATCGTATCGATAATGTAGATGATGCTAGTATCGAAATCTTCGTGGAAGGGACCGAGATGGGCATGGTAACCGCCAACGGCCACATCGCATTTTTTTTCCATTAACATTTGCATGCCTTTGTTTTGGTAGGTTCCGTTTATTTTGATTCCTTGGAAGGTATGCCTCGCTAACGTTCCCTCGAGCTTCATGCCGAGGTACGAGGACACTTCTTGGAGAATCTTCTCTTCTAATCCGTTGCCGTCTCCATAAACGTAGGGAGTGATTGATCTGTAGTACACTCGCATCGTCGTGTTTCTCCATTTCCTAGGATAGTCTGGAACTATTTTAATTCATATTTGGGAGACGTTAATTAATACGAAAAAAAATAGAGACATAGAAAGAAGTATTTTTGACAAAAGCTCAGATAAAAATAAGTTCAGCATCCAATTTTTTATCCACTTTGATTCTGTGGCTTAGGTATTAGTTAAATAAATTAAATTAAAGAAAAAATATTCATGTTTTTTGAATGAAAAGGAAATAAATTTGGGCTTTCAAAATTATATGTTTCGCTATTTGAAAAAAGTACAATAATTATGAATTCAAAGTAAAAATTGCAAAACAAAATTAATTGATTTTAATTTTGAACAAAATTCAAACAAATGAGAAACTATTGCTATTTATTACAACTTTATAAAGGAGAGCTTATACATTTTTCTATATTTTTAGTACATCTGCATATGCATGTTTTTAATAATTATCAAATTTTGCTAGATATTAAGGTAGGGTTTTGGAGAAAAACAGACATTTCATTAAATATCTGTAAATATTCAAACATTCCAAAATGTTTCTATATTATTGATTGAAAACTAATTTTATTGTATATTTTAAATAAATAACATAAATAATTTAAATTGAAATAGAAAATTATATTCTTAAAAACTATCAACCAAGATGGAACTTGAGCAACTGCGAACAAAAACTGACTCAATGTTTGTTGCAGTAGATGTTTTCCATCCTTTAGCGCGATGGTCAATAAATTCTTTACACACTTTCAGATACTCTTTTCTCAATATTTCCTTAATATTGCTATCAGATATGAAAAAAAAAGTATATATTAAATAAATAGCAAACAGAGAGAATCTAAAGCAAACAGAAAAATTATGTTCTGAAAAACTATCAGTCAAAGTATTCCTTAACCAAAGCAAGTTTATTATATTTTTCAACAGACTATATCTATAGTAAAGTTCGTCCTACATCACATATTAACTAGAAACTTTTTTATGCCATATTTACCATTAGTAAAAGTGAAGTCGTTACATTTTCCGAGTTCCACAGATGAGATCTCGGGGCTGTTTATGTTTTCGTACTTGTAAGGATGATAAGTAAACACTTCCCAATGCTTGTCTACAATGTATACCCTGTATACATAATTTTTCGATAAATTCATAAATATTTCTTTGCTAATCGACAACATCCGCAAAAGATACAACGCCCTTGGTTCTAAGTTGCCCATTCGGAGCTGCTGATAAAACGTGCTCAATGCTAAAGGACTAGTGACGTCAATATAGTAGAAAATCTTGGACGATTTAATCAAGAGAGCTGTGCGAAAAGTGTCGTCCATGATTACCACGGGATTGCGTTTCGATTCGACCACCGAATTTGTAACGATTAGAGTGTAATTATCGATGAGCAAGTCGATCAACTGATTATGGCATTTTCTTTCCGGCCAAATTTTTAATGGGTCAACCGTTTTAAGGATCGCCGTCACGTGGCAGGTTGATATATAAAAAATTAAAACATTAATCAATAACGCGTATCTTTTCATGTTAAAACGAAACACTTGATGACAGCCACGCATAGTATGTAATACCATGTAGCATGCATTGCGTGCCATTTGTTGGGTCGCACTGGAAAATTGTTAACTATTTAAATATTGCCTAAGGCCAATAGGGTACTGGTTATAATAAATGAGGATATTTTAATAGCCCGTTTATTCGCGGTCGTAAAATTTATGAGCTTACAAAAAGTTAGTAAATTATGTTTTTCATTTCGTGTCACTTCCTGGAAGCTCTTCGATCATTGGTCAACTGACTTCTTCTTTTCTGTTATAAAACTTAATTTAGGTATGGAGCACAGCCCTGCAATTTAAGGGGCTTAAATAGATTAATAGTTAATAGTTAATTGAAATTAATTAATTTTCAAAAATGTTTTTCATTACATCAAGTGCAGGTAATTTTATATGTGTGAATTTTATATGTGGTATTTTATATGTGTGTAATTTTATAGGCTAATTCTGAGGGTAACAAAAACAATTGTATTAATTAAAATTCAGGGTTTTATTGTTTTTAACAGTGCGCAAAACTGTGATATAAGCATACAGTGTAGACCGAACTAGTGTTTTTTTATTATTGCGCTTTGCGCCGCCTCCGAAGACGCTGCGCGATCCACAATTCAGCAAAGAAAATTGCTGTCGAAAAGCCTAACCCGACAGCCCACAAAACAAACAAAAATTCAAGCTTTTCCAAATTTAAAAGGTTCGGCCGGAATCTCGAGTTTCTATAATTCTGAGCGTCGACTACGCCCAAAAGGAATTTTCCAACATTTTCCATTCTAACCAGAAACCCTCCGTGCAAAACCAAACGCTTGAGGGTCTCGTCGAACACCTCGAATGGTGGAAATCCTTTGGCAAAAAACATCCTAATATGGGCTTTCCTTAATGTACGACCAAGATGGAGAAGCAATTCGCCGGTGACCGAGTCCGTGCAAAGTGCTCGCGAGGAGTATTCGGTGATCATTTTCGATACGAAAAATATTGCTGATTTCTTCCTGCAAACCTGCAGGATGCATTCGTTTATTTGAGGGCAACGCACTCCCCTCGGAACAGAAACGTTGAATCTCTCCATCAAACTCGCCACTTCCGTGGGTAGCAGGATTGGTAGGTCGGAGTTTAATGCGTCACGCTCGTTGTCTATTTGTTTCTCGTACTGTGTGCTGTAGAACATTTCTTGGATGGCGACCGTGAACACGGTGGTCAATAACAAAATACCAAGCAGCCAGGCGCTCAACGCCAACCTGATATTTCGGTGTTTGGTAACGATTTTGTGAACTGGATTTTGAAATAGAGTCATGGCGGTGAGCTTGAAGAGCGTAACAGGTTTTATCCCGTAAGTCAGGCGGATGAATACCACCCAAATGAATAAAGTCCCCAAAGAGGCAAATTCTGCATCCACAGTCATTATATTCATAATCCTAACCCAATGGGGGGTGACGTCGGCTTTAGGCGCGTTGACGATTACGTCATCGACATAGTAGACGACCGACTTATCAAAATCTCCGGACTGCGGTTCACCGAAGATGAAACCGTTATACCCTCCAGCTACCGCGTCTACTTCCTTTTGGTAAAGGAGTTGTAACCCCTCGTTTTCGTAGGACCCGTTGACCTTGATCCCTTGAAATGTGTGACTGTGTCCGATTTTACGCAACTTCATTCCAATACATTCGGCAACTTTTGACGTAAAGTTCACTTCAAACCCGTAAATACCCTTCAATATTACGAATGGAGTTAAATTCCTCAGGTATATTATAAGGGTGGTGTTTCTCCATTTTTTGGGGTAGGCTGAAATTATACACATTTGAGATTTTCGTAGCGACAAAAAGTCACTTACCGAAAGGTTCTAAGGTGATGTTTTCAGCCAGTTGCTGGCAAGCCTTGACGTATAATGGAGTAAGATCGGGATTGTGAACGTTTTCGGACTTGTAAGGCCGATACGTGTATATTTCGAGATTTTGATTTATCAGGTAGACTTTTCCAATATAGTACTTTGCCAATTGGGAGAGAAAGCTTTCGTCAATTGCAGATACCAAAAAGATAAATAAAGATCTGGGCTCAAAGTAACCAGTTTTCAAATGTATGTAAAAATTACCCAAGACCCTTGCATCTCTTAAATCTAAAATATAAGATATCTCCCGGGCAAAAATTGAAATTGGATCTGATAGAGAGCTGTCCAGTTTTACTGAGGGTTTAGTACTAGAAATTAGAATGTTGGAAACAATAGTACGACTGGCAGAATTACGGATTATCTTTCGTAAGCATGTCTGCTCTTCATAATATGTACGGATTTCGATAATATCAGAGTTTAATGCAGTTTTGCAAAACTGAGTGCCGAAACTCACCAATAAAAAAACTATTGCTTTGGAGGAAAGTTGCATTTTTAAATAGGAAAACTGTCGGAGTAACTCACAAGGTAAATATTGAGGAGATAAAGATCTCAATTTTTGTTGATCGTTGATAACTCGTATGGTTATGTCTAATTAACAAACACGTTCTTGCGTGACCTAATAGTTTAATTTGTATACAATTTTATACAAATAGACCGCTAAACCTACCAAAACCACTTGCAAAAAATGACAGTTAATATTTTCAAAATAAATAAGAACTAAAAGTTCAGATTTTCACGAAATTATATATTTTTACATGACAATTGTTTCGACAATGCCATGTCTTTTTGACACCGTGTCTTTTGATAAAGACACGGTGTTGTCGAAACAATTGTTATGTAAAAATATGTAATTTCGTGAAAATCTGAACTTTTAGTTCTTATTTATTTTGATAAATGGATTTTCATCAAGTAAAAGCCACCTCATCGTCATCACAGTCATCATTATGAATGCATGTATATAGCCATTAAAATTTTATTAACCAAGTCACTGACTCTATTATTATAGTCACGAATTGCTTTATAATTAGCCAACACTCTAATAAGCCTAACGTCAACCAGTTGCAATAATTTAAGTGAAAAAATTACAATTTTGATAGTGGAACAACCTGAATAATATAAAAATAACCATAATAGACCCCACCACATATCCCAAAAGCCCACTAATCGTTCTTCTATGGTCCATGGCGTGCAGATGCTTTTTACCTAATCCTAATTTTTTTATTCAATGCTTTGACAGCTTTGATTGTATTTTTGAAGTTAGTTTGTGTTGTGTGCCACGGGCCAGTCGGACGCGTCGTACTTTTGCTAATAAAAACAATAATTTTAGAAAGAAATAGAAAATAGAAAGTCAATTAAAAAGGACAGATTTTCTGTATTTTAGCAGGTGCATAAATTTGTTACAAATGGAATACGAGAAACACATAAATAGACTTGTATTAGGTAATAATTGTCCCTTTTCCCGCTTCATCGTCATTGTTTTTTGTTTGGCTTTACTTGTGCGCCACTGCTTCTGAAATTTGTTAATTTTAAACTGTTAACTTTTCCAGGGTTCTTAAAAAATAATTGTCACGCGGCCTACAAGGCTTTCCTGAAACAGAATTTTCAACATTGTGGCAAACATATAAATACTAGAATTGCTGGACAAAGTTTGGAAGATATTTTAACGGCACACTCACACATTTACGAAATAAGTATGATTCGCGGTGTGTATTATTAAATGTTTGTTCATAAGGTTTGTAGTTCAAGGATATTTGGAAGACACAAATTATTGCAAATTGAAAGGCAATGAATTCCTCTCCCCAGTTTATTTGCCAAATCAACTGCTGTTTTTGCTGGACAAAACCACTCCTTCATTATCACCAAGAAGGTCATCCAGTGAGTCTTCTGCCATTGAATCGCAATTTCCAGAGAGTCATGCTTCTGATATTGAAACCACCCCAGAATATAGCTTGCCTGGGCATATAAATTATGTGAAGAACAATTTAAATTACAACGTGAAAGCTTCAAGAAGAAATCTAAATACACATAAAACTACTGCAATAGAGAAATTGGCGACACCAGAAAAGGATGTTATATCAGAAGTAATTAGCTATATTGATATTTTTAGGGGTGATTATTTTCTGGGTTATTGTAGGTTATGAGTCAAACATTGTTGCAAAATACAGAATTTCAAGAAAAACTAGCCAAGACAATTAATACTGTGCTCAATACACCAGAAGTAACGTGTTCTAAAGCTGATGAAGATGTACATGATGGTATTTCAGTTGAACTGGATGCTACCATAAAAAATGTGTTGAAACGCACAGAAGCAGATCCCATGTTTGAAGAGGTTTTGCAAGACTTTTTGGGTAAGTCACCATAGATTTCTGTATTTTCTTACCTTTCCAACTATTTTAAAAGTTACCTAACAATTGCTAATTTTTACTTACTTACAAAAAACCTTTATGCTGTTTTTGTCATTGTAATTATTAATAATAATTCACTTTGGTTTAGTCTAAGAAAGTTATTTTTAGGCCAACCAATCATCAACAGCATAAATAAAGTTATTAATACAGAAACTCCTCCTAGTAGGTAAAATTTGTAAGATACATACCATACTTGTTATTAAAATATATCCATTTTAGCACCCCTGCAAGCATTAATAACGATATTTCAGCTTCAAACTGTCACAATAATGTCTTGAATGAGGAAACAGATAATTCCCTTTTATCTAGTGAAATGTGCAGTTCCAAGTTGTCTAGGACAAATAATTTGATAATGTATGATCAAAGTTTAAATCCTCTAACATCTACTTGTTTACCATCAACTGCTCAATTAGAAAGGAAGAAAAACGTTACAAGTGGGACTTCCCTTTATCTAAATAACATGCCAAGTATTGTGATGTTACAGCCACCATGTTTTGTTGTGGACCAACCTATTACAATGCCTCAGTTCAGTTCAGTTGATCAGGAGAATTTGGGAATACTCAAACACAAGGAAACAAATTTAGCAACCATCGAAGGAGGTCATAGTATGTAAACGAACTAATTAATTTTTTTCTAGCTGTTGATATTGTGTCTTTCAGATCCTAATAGTGTGATGTCTCAACAAGGAAATGAAGTCAAGAATATTCAGGAATATGTTAAGGTCTATAATGTAAATAACAAGAGTCCTATTATAAAAAAGAAAAGACAGGGCTTGAAAAGAGTAATTTACCCCAAATCAAAAGTTACTGTAGAAATAATTAATAACAAAATTGAAAAGACCTATTCTGAAGAACATATACAAGCTGACGCAACAAATTACAAAAGTACAAATGAGTTGCCATTATTGGATCATGAAGTGCAGCAGCAGAGCCATATCAAGGATGCTTCTTTGGAGAAACAGAATTTGTCATCTGGCATTAATAAATCTGTGGAAAGACAAAAACAAGGAGAAAAAGATATCATAACTCCGTCACCGTCAATGACAAACACTCAGAAAAAGACTCCAAAAAGTGGCAGTCATGTTAGGAATTTAACTTTCCCATCACCAAAGAAGGCATTGAAACCAGTAGCTACAGACAAGATAAAAGAATTAAGAGAAACTTCTTCAGATAAAGACAAATCTGCAATAACTAAAAAAAAGCCAATAGAAGAAAATGTGCCAATATGTTGGGACTCAAACCTGAGGCAGTTTATAGATCCTCCCAAGGATGAAAAGAAAGAACCAGCAAATGTGAAGAAAATGAAGAAAAAGAACTTCAAAAAAGCCAAAGACTTAAATGTTACAGCTGAAGAAGCCAGACTTCTGGAAATGAACCTCAAAACTCCAGTTAAGGAGGTACATAAAAATGATATAAATCTTGAGAAAAAACAGTTCTCATCTGATGTTTTAAGCAACAGAAACTCTGGTGACATATCCATGGAAGAAACAACCTTTAAAGCTAGGCATATCCAAGAAAAAACACCTATGAAGATCCCACCAACTCCAACAATTAGATCTGGAAAAAATGAAACCCCTTTTACTCCAATGCTAAGAGCTAACCTAAAAGAAATCACAGGAGGAGAGAATTTCTCTGTGGATACTCCTAACTTTCCAGTTACTCCAGGTTTTTCCTTTATAGGCAATCCACATAACTATTACTGGTTGAATGACCAAGATGGTGAGAATGAAAGGGTATTCAGTAATTTTAAACATGAAGAGTGTGCTTCTAAAATGATAGTCCAAGAACCCAAAGAAAGTTTGAAGCAAACTAAAGACAACCACTCCAAAGAAACCACAACTTTAACTTGTAAAAAGCCACCTGTTAAGACAGCAAAGGAAGTAAAAGATACCCCTAAAGACTTAAAGAAAAAAATAAATGAAAAGGCTATAAACCCAATACTAAATACTGAGGATGCAGAGAAGAGTGAGAAAACAAGACAATGTAGAGGTTCAAGAAAGACAATTAGCCCTAAAAAGGCTCCAAGTACTAGAAAGTCTACCAAACAACCAAAAACACCGCAAACTTCCAAAGTTCACAAATTTAAGTCTAAAAGTGTGTCAAAAAGCCCAGCGCAGAAACAGAATGGTGAAGTAGTTCAACATTCTCAGAAAGCGTCGGATGATCAAATTAACTGGTTTAAAATGAGTGGAGCAAATCTGCACAGGACCAAATCAGATTTGGATGAAAAAACAAAGGATTCAGAAGAGACTGAGCACAAGAAAGAGTTTTGTATGTATGATTATTTCACAATAAGAAATTACTTTGAGGAGGACACTATTGTTTACCATAACGATGAGGTAGCTTCAAACCAGGAGTTCCAAAGCAGTTTTAGTTCCAAATATAAGGCACAGAAAGTGACATTGTTCTGTGAAGATAATGCAGAAATTGATATTTACATTTCTTTGACTCCTTTTGTCAGCTTACTGGAATTCGGATTGGACGATAGCATAAGTGCAAAGACGAGAAGCTCGTCAGAGAGCCTTAACGACAGTGGCAAGCGCGGGATTAACGAAGATGCAGACTTGGTTGAGAGGTAAACGAAAGTAACTTTTACCTGCTTCAAAATCAAAATCGCGATCATTTTAGCACGAGAAAACGCAGGCATCGGTCTGACAGTTACAGTTCCACTTCTTCTAAGAGACTAAGGCCCGTTGACACTACCATCTTGAAGGAAGTGAACATAACGTCCTTCTTGTCACAGGTTCATGGACCTACAATTTAAGGATGAGAGGTGGTTTAAGTTATATTGAACATATAATTTTGACAAATCAGTGTATAAAATAATTAAACCTTGTATTTGTGTTTTTAAAGTTATTGTTTTATTTTGCCCTACTTTCCTTATCAATGGCTTGTTTGTAGCAGATTATTGGGCGGTTGTAAATCAGTGGTAGCTTTGGATTTTTTGATCTTCTTAGTTCTTTTAGGAAAACTTCTTTTTTTCAGTTCTGTAAACAATTTTGCATAATTTAATTTAATTTAATTTATTTGCAGTTTAACCAATTTACAAAACTTTTACATTCATTAAAGACAAATAGAGAGAAAGACAGCAGTATAACAGAATTAAACAAGAACAAGATATAACAAATAGAATTAAGTGGAACCACTGAAACGCAAAGAAATGAGCGGACGCTGCCGACAAAAGGATCACGCTTTAGGCAGTTGCACGCTTTCAGCGCAAGGGGCGAATAAACTTAATAATTTGCGCGGAACATTGAGTTGACACAGCTTTTGTAATATCCTTTAAATTGCATGCAGTGTAAAAGAGGTGGACAATAATACCAACCATTGAAAATCTTAGAGAAAAAATAAATCACTTTGGAATCTCCTGGATTGAGAGTATCAATATTGAAGGCCTTAGTTATAATACTGTAGTCGATCTAATACCCATTATAGATATTGATATGCGCCTCAGAAACCAAAGAACTTAGAAATACTTTCTTTATCTATATGGTAGGCATAATATGGAGATCATACCACAGATGCATACTCCAATCTAGAGGGAACCAAAGTGATATATAAAGCAATGGGGAATAAGTTGGCCACTATTGAGTACAACAAACCCAAGGACTCGCGTAGACCTGTTTACGACTTACGCAAAATGTGTCACAAAACTTTGTTTAGAATCCAAGAAAACACCCAAGTCTTTAATGCAAGTGAAAGCCTCGATTTCGACACCATCAATGGTATATCGATTGTGAACCATACTAAATAAACGACTAAAGCTAATATTAAAGCATTTTTTTTACATTGCTACGCGAGACTATCAATTTTAGACCACATGAAAACACTCTCCACTCCCCCCAGAATATCCTCGCTTGTTGCAACCCTCCTGAATATTTTCAAATCATTCGCAAAACAAAAGACTGCGATTCAGACAGTACACTAACAATATCGTTTATAAACCAGTTAAAAAGGATGGGTCCAGTGTGACAACCCTGGGGGACTCCCGAAAAAATGTCAATTTTACTTATAGTACACTACTAATTGCACTTCCAAATGACAATCCATTTTCATGGGTTTATTGGCCTCCATCATAGTGATGGTGCACTAGCCACAATCACTGGAGCAACTGCCTTATTTTAAGGTTTGAGATTGTCAGGATTTCTGCTCTGGAGACATCGTAGCTTATCTACTTATCACACACTATGTGTAACCCCTGCGTTACCGACATATAGAAGTTAAACCCAGAGATCAAATTTTTAAATTACCTTAGCTTATGCTGTTGAATTTCTTACCTGTAAAGATACTGGCAATGGGGGGGGGGGGGGGGGCGACTAAGAGAGTAAACATTATATGGTGGTGCATTCATTTCTTCGTTTATTATCTAAATATTATTGGACGATCTTCTAAACTGCCCAGCGACGGCAATACCGCGGGCGCCGTAAAAAAAGGGTCGCCTGAAAAGAGACGCGCGACACACAAAAAACCGAGGCATGTATTGCAAGCCGCATTAGACGTTAAGCTTTATTATTCATTTTCATGTTTTCTCATGTTTTAAGTTGGAAAAGTGAAAAATAGTTATCGAAAAATACAGTCCACTCAATCAAACAAAAATCAGCGCAGCAAATAACGTGCACCTACGTTAAAACCCACCATTTTGGTCCTTCGAGCCGGATCAAAATGGTGGGTTTTAACGTCGGTCCACGTTATCCGGCTCGAAGGACAAAATAACCTGGACCAACGCTAAAACCCACCAATTATTAATCAAACAACTATTCAATCAATATATAATTTATTCTGGAATGACGCCACAAAAACATAAGCGATATGAATAATAAATTTAAATCTAAAACCCTTGCTGGTATTGGCGTGACTCCAATCTATTCTGAAGAATTTCCAGCTGTCGTTTCGCTTCACATTGCGGAAAATTGTTCAGGTCGTAGTACTGAGGTGCGATTCTCAGCAGCCAATCAGCTAAAAACCAATTGCGTTACATAATAAAAAAAAGGTTGGCCAACCAGGCAGATCAACAGAATGATAGGTGGATGAAGCAATGTTTCATCTATCTCATTTTTTTATGCTAGTTCATGTTTTGAAGACAGGTGATAATAAAAATAATAAATAAATTGTAAAGCTGTTATTCTTGAGTGTAAAATCAATTTCCACCAAGAAAGTAACTGGAGGTATCAATTTCATCAGCTACATACTTTTGAACAATAATATCCAGGTATATTGTAGTCCAAAATACCCAACCATAAGAAAACATATTCAATAGACAAACATCACATTAATTAATAGTTCATTAAAAATAAGTTATATTTAACTTATCTATTTAAATTGGTGTTCATAACAAGCCTTGGACACCTGTCTCTCTTCACAACTTTTATTCAACAGAATTAATTTATACTTACGTTTGATATCAGTGACAGTTCTGATGTAATTCTTGGTGGTAAGTACAAACTCATTGTATATGACCCACTCTGGCTTGTGGTCCAAGCATGTTGACGGATGCAGCTGCACTATCTGATTATCTTTAATTGTCAGATAGTGTCCAGTTCTCTCTAAATGGGCCACCTGTAACAGTCACGTAAAATGATTAAATTATCCCCCTTTCCCATGAAGAAATGTTATTTACCTGCATGAAAAACCCGTTAACCAGTGCTTTTCTTATGTTGATGTAGTAGTCTTTGCTTGTAAAATCTGTGGACGTGCGTTTGAGATTGAATCGGTCCATGATCCGTGATAGCTGCTGCCTGACGTTGTCAGCAGACTTCAATGAGCGATAATTGACAAAATTATCATAGCACCACTGTGGATCTTCCATGCCTTCAAAAAAAAAAACGGCATAACTGGCTTCTGAATTATTTCAAAGAATTAAAATTCCGGCATAATACCAGGTGGTCGTCACACCATTTCATGTGCCCCTAAACACTTTTCGGAATTTAACAAAAATCTGAAGTTCCATTTAAGAAAAAAATAGCAAACATCAACAAACAGCACTACTATAAGTTCCACTTTATTTTTTAAACATTTTGTTAAATGTGAGTTCCGTGAATAACAAAAATATTGGACTAAGGGAAATATAATTGCTACTGACTGACTGACAGATGGCAGTTTCTATGAAGAGCATCTGAATTGGACTCTAATTTGGCTGCCTTATAAAGTGAAAATGGAAAATTCGGTGACTTTCCATAGGACTTTAAAAATAGAAGGGTTCCAGGTGGCCGAGAACCCTAAATTTTACACACACACACACACTTACTCTGTTTAAAGGCGTGGTACACGTTCAATAAAGTCAAATGATCGCCGTCGATGTGGGCGAATCTCATCTTGGCATCGTCGGCCGCCTTCTTCGCCTCATTTGGTCTGACGAAACACTGCGGGACTAAACATTGGACCGGGGCGCATGCCCGTTTCCAAAACATATAGTTGTGTTCGACTCACAAAAATCCTACAGAGCTATCCTTAGTCAGAACTAGTTTTGATCAGGTTTAAGAGTGAACCGTTTGAACGATTCACGTCTTAATATGCCAAAAATAGTCCAACAAGTGCTATTTCGCCAACCAACCAATGTCGTCGTCGTGTTAATTATACAGAGTTGGTGATTATATATATATATATATATATATATATATATATATATATATATATATATATATATATATATATATATATATATATATATATATATATATATATATATATCAAAGTATTATTTAAAAAGTTCTTGACTTTTTAAAATGAGCAAACATGTAAAAAATAAAATACCTAATTTATAGAACTGTTTCAAATACTGTAAATTTCTAAACATCTTCAATGGTACCAACAAATTTGTATATTTTTAGTTGATCTTATTTTTTTTTTAAACCAATCAGTTGGCAATCTTTTAACAAATCTTATATGGAAAAAAAAAGTGTGTCTTAATTTTGATATTTTGCAACAATGCAAGTTACAGAATCAAATTATTTGTTAAATAGTACTCAACTTTTTAAAATTAGGAAACATGCAAAAAATAAAATAGCTAATACCTAATCCTGTATATTTTTAATTAATCTTTCCTATTCTTAAATCAGCCAATTAGCAATCTTATAAAAAAAAATTTAAGACAAAAAAAACCGAAAGTTGTAATTTTGAGACTTGGCAACATTGCAAGCTTCTGAAGCATTAAAAATAATTAACTCCTTAAAATTAGGAACACTTAAAAATTTTTAAACATTCACACTGGTACCAACAACCCTGTATATATTTAATACAACTTTGCTTCTTTGAAATGAGCAAATTGGCAATTGTTCAAATTAATTGGCTAAATAACAATAATAACAGCAGTATCAGGGACACAATTATTTCCGTGAAACATTTTGGAAACTTCCACCCACATTAGTAATAAAAATCCCTCTTATTTATTATGCTTTTATAACGCCATTAAATACTTTTTTGGGACGTTTTGCAGATTATATTATTAATTGAATAGTTGCTTTGTTAACTTCTTAATTGTTTTACTATCGGGATCATCCCTTTTGAACTTTTTTATCGCAGTTCATCAATACCTGACAGCATAGCGGTTATGGAAAGGATCTCGTTTGAACAGTTGTGGTTACAGCTGGCAATTAGCATTTTCGCCAGCTGAGGATCGAGAGGGAACTCAGCCATAACCGCCCCCAAGTCGGTAAGGTTTCCGTCATCGTCAAGGGCAGCCAAGTAGTTTAATAATTCTAGCGCTCTCATCAGTGTTTCGGGAGCAGGGGGATCCATGAAATCAAAGTGCACAAGGTCATCAATCCCCAGTTTTTTTAACTGCAGCACCACCGACCCCAGATTTGATCTAAAAAATAAGATTTCCCATTGAGGTAAATTTACGGTTGAGTGCATTTTCCTACCTTAAAATTTCTGGATATGTGTTGTCCTGCATTTCAACTTTAAAGGCCTTTTCGGTATACAACCTGAAACATTTTCCTGGCTTTGTTCTTCCTGCACGACCGGCCCTCTGTTGTGCTGAGGCTTTACTTATTGGAGACACCAATAATGACTCTACACGAATTCTCGGGTTATACACCTTTTGCTTAGCAAAACCAGGATCAATCACAAACACTACGCCATCTATAGTTAATGAAGTTTCAGCAATGTTTGTGGAGACTACTACTTTGCGCCCAATAGCACCATTAGTCTTATTTGGAGGCGGATCTTCAAAAATGCGTTGCTGAAGGTTAGGGGGTAAAGTAGAATACAGAGGAATGCACTTCAGTTCACCCACATCAGGGCCTAAATTGTCAATTTCCCTCTTTATTCTTTTACAGGCCACCTCAATCTCCTCTTGACCAGTCAAAAATAAAAGAATGTCACCTAAAACACGATACAGATTTAGCCAAGATTAACATAGAGCGCCTGTGGTTAAATTTTGATATATTGTAAGATTATAAGATTCAAAATTCTCACCAGCAATTTCCTCACACATATGGATTTGAATAACTGTTCGAATAGCGGCTTCTAGATAGTCTCTTTCAGGCTCAGGAGTGTAAAAAATTTCTACAGGGTGGGTACGACCTGGCACGTTCATTAAGGGAGCATTGTCAAAATACTGTTGAAATTTTCCAGCATCCAGAGTTGCAGACATAATAACCAATTTTAAGTCACTCCTCTGTTTAATTACTTCCTTAAGAACACCCATGAGAATGTCGGTGGCTAATGTACGCTCGTGAGCTTCATCAAGCAGTATGCACTGATAGGCATCCAACATTGGATCACTCATGCCTTCACGTAGCAACATACCATCTGTCATATACCTAAAGAAATTCAGTTTTATATATGATCACCTTACCACATTATTCATATTACTTTAAAACTGTTCTGGCCGATGAGCAATCCTCAAAACGTATACTATAACCCACTTCTTGACCTAGTACAACATCCATTTCCTCTGATACTCTCTGTGCCACTGACATGGCAGCCACTCTTCGGGGCTGTGTGCAACAAACACCTTTTTTTCCCATTTGTCTAGAGTACTCAACGCACCATTGTGGAATTTGAGTTGTTTTCCCAGATCCAGTCTCACCTACGAGGACTATACACTGATGTTCTTCAAGAAGACGCATAAAGTCTGCTCGGTATTCAAAGACTGGCAACCCTATTCGTTTTCTAAATAGTTCATGGTACCTTTGAGTGTAACGCACTCCTGTATATGGGTTATTTAGCGTTACTACAGTAGGAGGAAAAGTTGAAGCAACAGGAACAGGATCCCTATCAAATTAAACAAAGAAATTAACTTACTACCTACATGCCTCAATATTAAGTACCTTTTCTTCTTGCTAGCGGTGTCACCCACTTCAATTCTTCGCTTTGACATCTTCTCCTCGAAATTAGGAGACCCACTAAATAATAAAGAAACTGATAAGTGCGACGCTGCAAAAAGTCTCCTTTTAATCCGATCTCGCGAAACGATTATTAAACGTGTTTCGAAATGATTGATTGTTTTCGTGCTATTCTAATTGTAACAAATTTCGGGGCATGCATGCACAGCACACTACAATGCCATAGATGATACCATAGTATCACAGAACAATAAAATTAGTATTGGAAAGTTTTAAAGTATTTCTTCGAAGGTAAGAAATTGTCCAGTAATTTTGCCCAGTTTTATTTGAAACGTTAAAACAAGAAGGGTTCTGTCTGTGATAACAAAAACTTTATAAAACGATTTGCATATAATGTATTTGGGAACCACCCATAAAATCCGTAGTTAAATATCTGCTTAAATTCGGGTTTCTTCTTTTACTTCTGCTGGCCACAAAGCAAGTAGCCTGCATTAGTTCATCTTTGAACTGACATTTTCGTGGATAGTTGACTATTTTTATTGGCTTAGAGATTTATATGGTTTATGTTCTTAACCTTTCCGTTTTTTTTTCTAATTTTTGTAGTAGTGTTTACAAAATCCTTAATTATAAATTATTGCTTAATAACTAAAACGTAATGGCAAGTATTTTTTTACATTGTCCCGATAGTATTTTCATTTATTAAATTATTTATTTTGGGGGGCGGATCTATTAACAGATACATCAATTTTAGGCTAATGAAGAAAAAACGGTGCCTCTTACGGACAGTTCGCTTATGGTAGATATATCCGACGCTCTAAGTGAAAAGGATAAAGTTAAATTCACTGTCCACACTCGCACTACAATGAAATCTTTTCAAAAACCTGAATTTCATGTTGTAAGGCAACATGAGGAGTTTATCTGGCTTCACGACAGATATGAAGAAGATTCAAAATATGCTGGATATATTGTATGTCTTACAAGAACAGCTACCCATTGAATTGCCTTTTCCAAAATTATTTTAGATCCCTCCTCCTCCGCCACGTCCAAATTTTGACGCCTCCCGAGAAAAACTTCAGAGGCTTGGTGAAGGGGAAGGTACTATGACTAAAGAAGAATTTACAAAGATGAAGCAAGAACTGGAGGCGTATGTAAATTGTATACTAATACTACTCTAAACCTGCTGACTGGGAAAAAAAATTGTCAATTTTTTTTTAATGAAAAATATATCGATAAAACCTTTCAGGATGCGGAAAAAGATATGGTGAAAGTTTGAGCCCTTAATATTAATGGCAGGAGGTCATTCAATTTTTTTGTCCTGATCTCATTATTGAGTGAAGACAGTCAAATAATTGAGGTAGAAATATTAATCTGAATATATTTTTAAAGGGAATCAAATTCTCTATAAAAACAAGCTCTGATTAAAATTTTTCATGAGAAGATTTTCCTTCCTTGCCTCTCTATTTCTCTTTTCTTAACGCTATGGATATAAAAATAAATAAGAAGTAAAAGTTCAGATTATCACGAAATTGTATATTTTGACATGACAATTGTTTCGACAACACCGTGTCTATATCAGATGTCTTCCTTCTCCTTCCTTCTCTAACACTCCATTCTCATATATTAACAAATATAATAACATATAAATAAAACAAAGTTCCAAAATGAAAATGTTAAATAGAAGAAATTTGTTAATGTTTAAGGCTTGATTTCTCGGACACTCAACAACTATTAAAATTTATTCAGATAAATATTTTAACCTCATTCGTTTGGCTATTTTGACATAACAAGGAGATAAGGACAAAAAAATTGAAAATTGATATTATTCATAAAATAAGTTATTCAATTTTTTTGACCCGGTCTAACGCATATAGAGTATTTATGTTTAATGTCAATGTTATTTTTTTGTGTTGTAAATATTCGCAAGGGTTTCTTATCATCTTATCAGATTTTGGGTACCTATTGGGCTAAATGAAAAAATCAGTTAATTTTTTTTTTAAATTATGGTGGTAGAATATTAGAATATTCTCATTCCCTTTTTGAGAATAGCTGATAATAGGAGAGCACTTTTTATTATCATGAGATGCAGCCATTCTGAACAAATAAACAGCAGGCATAAAATTTGAATTTCCTTTCTGGAACAGTGAATATGTAATATAATAAATCGACTTTAATTGCTGACTTGTCTTGGAATATCTAAAAACGGTTTTTGTTTGACATTTTAAACAAAGTTGTATATTTACTGCAGGGAGTACCTAGCTACTTTTAAAAAGACGGTAGCCATGCACGAGGTATTTCTCACTCGTTTGGCAAGCCACCTGGTATTCAGAGAAGACCGTCATTTGCACGTTTTTCTCGAATACGACCAGGATTTGTGCGCTCGCCCCAAAGGAAAGCTGCAACAGTTGGGCGGTTTTGTTAAAACGATTGGCAGCACTACTGACCAATACTATCTCAATGCAACTGTGCGGGATGTCAACGACTTTTTTGAGCAACAAATGAATTCGCTGACAGAATATCATAATCAGTTGAAGGAAGCTACTCATCGCACAGATAAAATGACAGAGAAGCATAAAGGTGGGGACTAAAGAATGTCGACATTAAAACCAAAGAAGACCCGACGAGATCATATTTTAGATGTACTCGATTATATAAAAGTTTTGAGTCATCTCATTTGAGCCTTTATGAAGCAGCGTTAGACTGTTTTTGGCTAGTCGGGCAGTAAGCTATGATTTAGTTAAAACTCGTTCTATCCTATGCCTTGTTGGGTCTCTTTTTATAATGTCATGGGTTGAAATCGGCTATTTGCATAAATTCCGGTTTTCAGAACTAGCCGACAGTTATATCAAAATATCGTCGGGATTAGTTCAATTGGCCAACAGCGATACTGGTGATTTGGATAAATTTTTGGCCAAATTGGCCGACATTTTCGAGAAGGCTAGGGTATGTGTTTGTAATCTTCGCGCCGCAAATTTCAAAGTGCTTTTTGCAGAAAATCGAAAGTCGGGTGGCCAGCGACGAAGATTTAAAGCTAGCCGACACGCTGCGGTACTACATGAGAGACAGCCAAGCGGCTAGGGCTCTTCTGGTACGACGATTGAAGTGTCTGGCTGCTTACGAGAACGCCAATCGGACGTTAGAGAAAGCCAGGCACAAGAATAAAGATATACACGCGGTAAGTTGCGTTTAATACAAACAAAATCTCTATAGACTAGGATTGATAAAATTTGTTATATAAATTTGTTTTATATCACGCTTCTATAGGCACCAGAAGTACAAGAGGTATTTATCCAACCCGCCATAATGTGTCGCGAAAGAAAATTTTTGCTTGGGTTTATGTTCCTATCGAGTGCTACTTAGTATTTGTGGTAGAACCTTTTTATATTGGCATATGGCATGTGTGTAGTAGATGTTTCTCGGGTGTTTTTCACATAAAACTGAAACTACCCAGAGAGTACTACTAGTAAATTAAAAAAAATAAAAAGGAACTTTCCCGTAAGACTATTTAAAAATGTGTATGTGTGTTTGCATGCGAGGTGACAGGCCTCTGCATGGAAAAAAACCGTTTTTTAAGTAAATTAATTGCAAGATTACAGATAATGAGGACATTGTGTACGTCGTATTTTATCCCTTATTTGAAGTCCGCGTACTTAATGAGAAATAACGTTTTCCGCTATTAACTGATACAGTTCAACATTATGCGAAATAAGGCATTTCCTAAAGTTAAAGGCGTAGGCGATAGTGTCAGTAGTAATATAAGTTTCGAAAATAGCAAATATTCTTTCAGTGCCGTCCCCTAAAGGAGGTTGGCGACCACTTTTTGTAAATGCGTTTTTGTCTCTTGCAACGTGAAAAAGCTCTCTTATGCTCATCTGAGTCCAGTCCCTAATGTTTCTTAGTCAGGATTTCTTTTTTTTCCTGTGCTTTTTCTTCCATCCACTCGTCCCTGCATGACAGTCGTAGTTCGTGTTTATTATTTCTTAGAATTTTTCTTAGCACTTCCTCATTAGTAATTCTAGCAGCCCAGGGTATTTTGAAAAAAACTCTAGTTTCTTGTCGGTCTGGACCTTGAGAGTCCAAGTTTCTACTCCATATGGTAGTTATGACGACACGTATCACTCAATAAACTTTAATCTTGGTTTAGGGTATAGATTTTTGTCGCTGATTAGTGTTTTAAGTCTTAAGAAAGACTGCCTCGCAATTTCGATTCTGATTCTTATTTCGTGGCCTTGGTCTAGATGTGAAGTTAGGTAAGTTCCTAGATATTTATATTTTTCCACGAGCTCTACGGATTTTCCTTGTATCATCAGCTGACCTTGATTGACTGGGTTTTTCGAGACAATAATAAATCTTGTTTTTACAGTATTTATTGTAAGTCCCATTTTCATGCTTTCGTTATTGACCATGTTCATTACTATTTATTACTTATTATTCATTATTTTCTTAACTATCTCACCTCAGCAAATATTGCGGGTTTTAAATTAAAAGTTGCTTTTATTGTGTTGTGCTTGAACTGTCACGGTTCAAATATTTTTATTTGACCAATGTGTTTATTGTTTATTTTAAAGAAACATTTAATGCATCGACAAAGTTAGTTTCGTTGTCCAAAGAAGTCCTTCCTATGGTCATTACATTTCAGTGGTTTGAAGGAAAATTGTTGTTGCAGTTTAGCGATGATAACGACCTAGTGTTGCTGTGGGGGCCTAAATCCTTTTTTACATTCTAATGTGGGGGATAGAATTCAGGAACATGTTAGGTCCCTAATATCATTTTTATATTAAAAGAAGGTTTGTCTGAAACTTTATTGGGGGTTCATTAAATATTTTCCATCGCGAAAAACACAATTTTCTCTTGTAAATAACAAAATAAACCCTGACTTAATCTAACCTTATAACATAACGCAAACAAAGAAGAATATGCAAAAACTAAAAATGTTAAATTCAAAAAACGTCAGAAAAAGCATGCTATAACCCGTTAATAAGAAAGTGATATAAAGATAAAATTTCAGAAGAGCCCCCATCATGTGTGTAGTGTGATAGGTAGGGACTTTAATTAAGTTAACGTGGCCACTCTGAGCCACAAGACATATGACAATAAATTTCTCAATTCAGTGGCAACAGGGTAATTTAGGAACCTTTATTTCCAGAAATTCCAGCTTTCCTACACATTTCCTTCCTAGCATATGGGTAAAAAAATTCATCTTCCTCCATTCTTCAAAAATATTAATTAACTAATTAAATTAAAATTAAAAATCTTCCAAGCGATTATCTTTTATTTTCAGTTATAGTTACTTAGCGTCGCATAACATTGAGAAAGTACCATCGCGTGTTTGTCTCATTTATTGTTTCAAGATGTTTGTAAAATAATTACACAAATTCCTGCTTTATAAAACAAGTTTAACGAATTAACTTAAAAAAAATAACTCATTACATTGGGAAAGCCGCAATATTACGTTGCGTTTGTAAATATAACGTGAATGTAAGAAACAAAAAATATCTTTCATTTCATAAATAAACAAAATAATTTTTTGAATTCTAAATTTTATATTTTCCTTCAAATAGAATGTAAAATGTAACTTTTCCAAAATGCCTATTTGAGTCGATAAAAAAAGTTAAAACATTTATTATTTTACATAAAGACATTGTAGATCTGGTTGTATAGAAAATTTGAACACTGGAAGTGGAAAAATGTTTAGTAGATATGGACTTAATGTTGGATGCCAAATACAACTTAAATAATTCAATCTCTTTGTTCTCTAAATGGAACCACAACACCAAAACGAGGCGAATTTTGGTTAATAGTGCTGGCCATCTCTGGCTCCCCAATTGCAAAGTGATGTGGCCAGCGCCATGTCTTATTTGTCACATATTTTAATTAGTAATGCGCCGGAAAACTCTGGTTACTGATATTCCCGTGGACCGGGTTTTCGAAAGTTAACAGCTAACTTAATTGCTACCACTTTATTCCACTAATACAAAAGTTTTTTATTCCACGAAGACCGTGCGTATTATCCAACTTGCCGGTTAGCGGGAAACTACGGAGTATACTTGGCATAGAATATTTTACAAAGCTTCACGTCGCCGTCTTCGAGCGGTGCGGCGTTGCCAATACCCCACAGTTACCTATATTTAATTAATTTACTGTGAGAGCGAGATGAAGTTTCTTGTCATTTTTCAAAGAAACTTCCATTTCCAAAACTTCTGGATTCTTCATGCGTCGGTTGTTGCGGAATCCAGAAGTTTTTTAAATTGTAAGTTTCCTGTCATATTTGTAATAGCTCAGGCACCGGGTTACGTTGGGATTAGCGGTTTAGCAATTTTAAGGGGAGTTTCGCAAGGCAGCATTTTGGGATCTTTATTGTTCTCTATTTACACCTCTGACTTTTTTAGGCACCTAAATAAATGGTATTGTTATTGTTAATGTTATTCTCATAGTATTATATGCAAATATACTTATCATTCTCGCTCATAGATGTAGCTTTGTCTTTCAATGGCATAAATGAGGATCTTGAAGTGATTTATATAAATAATTCCAAGACCCAGGTTGTTCTTTTTGCCAATTAAAAAGAGGAAATTATACAGTATAATGATCTGAAACTTTCCTTGAATGGTACTCCGCTTGAATTTGTCGACAAATATAATAACTTAGGAGTCCTTCTTGATAGCAAGCTGATTTTTGATTCTCACTTGTCTTGCTTACTGCAGAAGTCCTACGGTAAATTGAAAGTACTTTACATGTATAAAGACTACTTATCTACTGAGATTAGACGTAAATTGGGTGATGTGATTCTCTTACACTCTCTCTATTGGGATATTGGGTCGTTGTATACTGACCGGCTCTAAGACGAAAAGACTTAGCTTACAAAAAGCGCAAAATGACCAATTTGATCATATAATGCCGGCACTCAAAGGCCGGTAACAGGGCGACTCGTCACTGTAACCAATTCTATGTTCCCAAGTATAGTACGGCTGCGTTTCAGAGTATTTCACATATAACGCTTCTAAAACTTACAATTCGCTTCCACTGGATATTATTACTTGTTCATCTACATTTAAAAATAAATTAAAAGAGCTGGCGAGATTAAGGAGAGGCTGAACGGCCTAATTTTTGTTTATTTTTTCTTTTAGTCGTTTTTTAATATTTTACTTGCCTTTTCCAGTGTCCATTTTGTTTGTTTCTTTCTTTTTTTACATTTATCCCCCTTTGATTTGTTAAAAAGTGTCATATTGTGAACTTAAGTGTACTTAAGGGACTTATTTATATTTGTTAGTTTTTTTCTTGTTAAATTCTGGATATTTTACTACATTGTATCGACGGTGAGGTGGAGTAGCTGCTAGACCTCGCCACTAGCACGCTATTTATTATTATTATTATTGCTATTATTATTATAATTATAATAATAATAATAATAATAATAATAATAATAATAATTATTATTATTAACCTAATTGAAGTGTGTACTTATTATACACATGATACTCTAGATTTGCGAATACTTTAAATAGCAATAAATAAACCATCGCAGTACAAACTGACACCATCTTATCTGAAATTTTAATGGTTTCCAATTAAAATAAATAACTTTTTCATTTGTAAATGGGGAAGATTTTTGGGTATAGGACGCTTTCAGCGGTTGTCATTCGGTAGTGGAAACATTTCGTTTTTGGGCTGTGAACGGAATGGGCTGCGTTGCATGATTTAGCTAAAGCCCATTTTCGCTAAACCGTCGTTATTCAAAAATTGATTGTGGAAAGACCGGTATTATATTTTAAGGCCGAAACAGCTCAGTCGGCCGCTTGCGAGCAATTTGAAGCAATCTCCGCCCAGGCGAAGGAAGAGCTGTTAGACTTCAAAACTAGAAGGCTTTACGCGTTTAGAAAGAGGTATTTTCGGCGTGGTAGTGTCACGCTGACTGCTCTAGTCTGTTTCATTGTGTTTGCAGCTTAATCGAATTGGCGGAATTAGAGATAAAACACGCCCGAAGCCAGCAAGACCTGTTGCGAAAGTCGATTCACAGTTTGAAGGAACTGTTGTAGACCGTCGAATTCGTTGTTAAGTTTCACATCGGTTTCTAAGATCGGATTTTCTACGTTATTTTCTAAATGTAAATATTATTAATATGTATATTTATGGTTTTCTTGTAACTAAGTTACGGTATACCTTTATGAAGATGTAATCGCAAAATTATTTTCCATTTATTACATTATAGTGCAATATTTTGAATAATGAATTATCATTTATTTCCCTTCCCCGGTGACTGAAGTGTAACTGTTGCCCCAATCAACGAAGTTAGCCTACGAAAAAAATAAAGATTACAAAAAAAAATTAGGTTGATTTTCTTAACAATAAAATATTTTTATTTAATCTTTCAAATTAAACTTTCAATTTTGGGATGTCCGAAATTGTAAGGGATACAGACTAGCTCCAAATAGATTCATAAATGATTCCTCCAACATTCCATCAAAAAAATGTAAATTATCTTTAGTACTTCCGGAATTATGGCGGGCGTTTATTTTAAAATTTAACAAAAATTTAAAAATACATTTTTGTTGGCACTCTTTATCCTATGCCGAATTGAAAAATCTATTTTATTATTTCGTTTTTTTTTCAAATTATTATCAACTTTAATCCTTTTACCGGCGCCATATTGAATTTTTGCCGCTTTGAATGGCCAATTTAACTTTTTGTTACGATTTTTCAAATTTTCGATCCCCTCAACTTTAGGTGCTAACATTCTTAGCTTTTTAAATCACCAAATAACTACTATTTGCTAATAATACCCGCAAGAGTATACGCAGTTCAAATTTGGTTTTTAATCAATAACATCTTTCATTTCAAATCAACTAACAAGACCTATCGGCCTTGAACAACCAACATGGCGGCTGGCAGTTCGTCAATTGGACAAGTTTCTGTTTAGATGTAGCACTTTATGGCACTATTTTCTCAAAATATGCCCAGATTTCTTTAAATGTTCTGGGAAAACTCCTTTTGTGATGTGAAGATGGCTGTTTAGAAAAAGAATGGCGGAAAGGGCAGGTTACTAATAGTATATTATGCAACAAGTGCGGTAAACGGCATTTGACTCACGAGTTTATTTGACACGAGCAGAGCGAGTGTTTAATAAACGAGTGACTTAAAAATTTTACTGCACGTGTTGCATACTGTACTTTTTATACGACCGTTAGTTTTTGGGCACATTTTCGCAAAACAACACGAATACATTCACTAACATGACCGTCAGAATTGACAAACGTCAAGATTCAAAGCGTGGGAAATGTCTCTGCGGTAAAATCGCGGAAATGTCCGAAGTGGCTCGGATCCGTGGGAAACGAAACTGACGTGGTAAAGTGACCCTTCCCGCACGCTAGATCGGTGGGTAATTAGGTATTTTACAGACGGGAGTAGAAAAACATCATTACCCCATTGCGGTGAAAATTACTTACAGAAAAAAAATCATAATTGAGTAGTCTTAACTAAACTAACTAGTCGATAGTCTAAACCAAAGAAAGGGTTAATAGTATCGAATTTTCTCGCGGTTTTGTGGTTTACGAGCTTAATTAATGTTAAATATTCATATGAAGAAAAGTTAGACTAAACAGCAAAAGGTAGGCCATTACCACATATTACCATTGAAAAACCTGGTTTTAGTAGAGGAAAAAGTTATACACGGAAATTTATTAAAGAGATTTACTCACAAAATGAATGGATTTGTTAGTATATTGTTTTTGCTGCTTACTTTTTGGTGGCGATAAAGCTTAGATGGAAATAGGAGTTACCTATTTACAGCATTTAAGTAAATAAAAGGACATGAAAATTCTAAAACCCACATGCATAATTGTACGGAATTTGCGTTATCAGAGTCAACCAATATAAGGGCCCAATTAGATTCTGCTTATTGGGTAAATATACAGAAAGATAATGAAAACTTGTGAAAGAATAGACATATTTTATCAAAATTTATTAATTGTAATCAAATTTGCGGAGATTTTAAATTGGCCCTTCGAGGACATAGTGAGGGCGAAACTTCCGAGAATTCCGTGATATTTCGGAGACTTAAGTTTTGAGTGTTTAAAAAAATCTTTAATATTTAAGGACACTTCCAAAAAATTTAATAAGAACACCTTAAAAATTTTCCCATTAGCCGCCACTGCACGCGGTGCATCAATTTTTACGGTTCGCAGGCTACTATATCATCTATTAGCTACTTTTAATACTCCGGGGCTTTGAAACTAATTGTAATCAAACTGTAGATTTGTATAGCATAGATTAAACTTACAATAAATTAAATTTTTTAATGAAACTTAGTACTATATTAAAGATTCTGGGTTCCTCCAATTTCATGATGTAGCTACAGAAGAGTCTTATTGATTTGCTCTATTTGTTTACTATTTTCTTTCTTTCTTTATTGGTTTAATTCTTTATTAAGAAATTTAACGTGAAAACCAGATTTACCACCAGATATACCACCAAGAGTTTACATATGCTTCAAAGAATACATTGGAGAGACCGAACTAAAAATATCAACTAGTCCCAAAGAACATGAAACAATCTTAAGACTACCACAAATAAACTCATCAGCAATTGCCGACCACAATCACGAAGCCGGACATGTTAATACCTTCCTCCTTTAGCTCCACCCCCTCAAACAATATATAAGCAAGAATAGAGTAAAATGAGAACCAGTTTCAGTCAAGCTCTGAAGAAGTCATCAGCATGATTGGCGAATCGTCACCAAGTTGGACACAGTAAAAACCGACGCAGGAGGAATTTAGAAGATTTGTAAATAATAATTTAAATTATTAAACAAACACTCCATGAAATAGAATATAAATAGAAATCGCTAATTTTGCAGCACTGGAAAAATCGGAGTTCCCCTACCAAAGAGCCTGACCTAATACAAGCAATGCGATAAATACTTTTGACAGCTGTAGAAAAAATATTTAATAATTGGTGGGGTTAGATTGACAGAAGGCATATTGACGGACAAACCGATAAGCTTTTGACCACTTGTGTTTTCAACTGAGAAAAAGCCCAACAATATTTGCGTTTAAGCGATTTACTTTAAACTTTTAACTATAATAAGTGTATATGTAAAATCCAATCTGTCTGGAACTAAAAGCTTTATGTATTTAATGTAGTAATATTTGAAAAGCTTCCGACTTAATGATACAAGACATTTTTTCTCATTTTTAGTGCAACTCAACTTTATTTATTCTTAATTACTTTCGCCCAAAATTGTACGCTGAAATATGGATAAACGTTTCTTTACATTAGACCGCACTAACCTTTTTTGTTTTGAGTAGAAATAAAACAGCAATATTGAGAGTAAACAAAATTTGAAAATAATGTGAACCATTGTCAGTTATTATTTGTGAAATATTATTTTTTTGTACTATAGATCTTGGCTCGGACACTTTCCTGTTGAGGTTATGTTATGCGTTAAAGTAGAAAAATAAAATTTTAAAAACATGGAAAACTTCGATTGTTTACTAATATAAAAATTGATTAATTTTATTAAAAAACATATAGTATTATGACAGGTAATTATTAGACCTCACAACGAAAGGTTAACATAAGGATAAGAACAAAATGAGACAGTAGCAACAAAGTGCTGCCAACCACAATACCAAGCTAATGTTACTAAGGCGGCAATTTTAAAATTAATTTTTACGATTATATATCTCAACAGGAAAACCCACAAAACCACTAAAATTTTCGGATGGTTAAAGTTCTGACAATTTACTTGTTTTAGTGAAATTTTGACTCAACAAATACGTATAAGTAAAAATAATAAAAATAATTGTTTTTTCATATATAATCTGATAAAATAACATCTTCGTTTCGAACCTTGTTTGCCTTCAATAGCGAATGGTAAGCTTACAATCTTGGACTATAGTTTATTGAAGTAATTAAATATGAATGACAGTTGCTAGATTGACACCTAAGATCTTTCATTCCTTATTAACCTTTAAATTAATTAATTTAATTAAATTTAATTAATGAAAATTAATAATTTGGGAGGTGTCTGCGGCTCATAACCTCTTATTGAATACTAACAAAATGCAGATGTTATTATTTGGAAATAAAAAGAAAGGAAATAAAATATATTGTAAGAAACGCCTCCTGTAAGATTACGCTAAATGATCAGATTATCTGTCCTTCTTCAGACTAGTGTAAAAATTTAGTATTATGGGTTGACGGTGACCTGCGGGTTTCTAAATATGTAGGCTCGGTGTTATAAAAATCCTTCTATTAGTTGAGGACATTCTATATTCATAAACATCTTCTCAGTAAAGAAATGAAACTTAAACTCTGTGATATGTTATATTTATCCCATGTTGCTCATTACAGTATCGTCTATCAGTTAGCCACCTTTGTTTTTTACTAAACTCCAATAAGACTCCGTCCTACTTGTTCGACAAACTTTGCAAAAGAAATGATATTCATAATTGATACACCCCCTATTGTTTGAGATATTGTGTTCCTAGACACACTTCGATAACTTTCCAGAGATCTTTTCCTATAATGCAGTTAAAATATTTAATGAAATTCCTGAGTCAATTCCCGCCAGTATCTAGCAAAAGCGTATGAGTTTGTGATGTGAGTCTATTTCTTGTACTTGCGATGTATATACGGGTGTGTATTTTGTTGACAATTATGGTGTTGTGCTGTTATCTTGGTTCTTGTGGTTACATAGAAGAGCGCAATTTGGCAGTTTATTACTATTATTATCGATCTCAGATTTCTCTGCTTTGCAGGTATTAGTGATGTGATATATCCTACTTCACCTAAGCTCAAAAATTTTGGAACAATGTGACATGTCTGGAGTATTATAGCTTTTTGTGATGCATCAAAGATGTTATTCTGCATGTCTAGTTTCTCCATGAATGTATGGGTACTTCGTTAAGACGCCAGATTTGTTTTAGCCAGATCTTCATATTTTCGAACTTTCTCAGCTTCCGTAGATCTCAAATTGTGGGTGGGTTTATTAATGAGGAGAATATCTGGCCTGTTGTGAGCGACCGTTGTATGTGTTAGTACCGGACGATCCCAGTATAGCAACGTGACCTATTTTCGAGAATTGATTTTGGTTCATATTTATAAATGCAGGCGTCTCTTTCGACAAAAGTTCCTATTTCATGCCCAGTTGGTAATGTTTGAATTTTGTCAGTTGATTAATAAGCATTTTATTGATTCTCCCATATTT